AACCATTCTTTACTGCATATTTAGATCTCATTACGCAGTAATAATTGCGGGAGAACGAAGGGGAAGCATTGTGAATACCACTAAAGAAGGTCCAGACTTAGCTTGAGAGAAAAAGGGAGAGGAGGAAGAGAGAACGTTTTGGGATTTACTTGTCCTCTTCTGTGATTTTGACGAGAGAAAAGTCAACGTCTTGCACTGCTGCAGTGGCTCCATCTCTTCTCTCTCTCATGGTCCCCTCCTCCTCCGCCCTGAGTTGTGAGATGGTGAAGCTCCAGTTCTGCAGTGAGATGCTATACAGGGGAATTAAGGAGGAATGAGATGGGGTTAAAAGGTAACAATTGATTTCCTCTTACTCCCTGAGTGTGTGTCCGAGTTTGGTGAAAGTAAGTCGCTTCTCCATGATCCCCCGATCACTTATCACTGCTGACACATCTGGATGGATTTCACATATTTCAAATTTCCGACATTCAAGTTACAATCCGACCGCAACTTCATCCCTCATCGCACACGACCTGACGTGGCGTGCCGATGTTTCGCTTCTGTGCGGACTGTTTAAACCCATGGGTCCGTTCTGCCCCCCGAGTATTTCGCTGGGGAGTGGTCCCCTATGATTTGGGGGGCGTGTTCCTGTAGAACTTCTGAGAGGACACTTGCTAAATTTTCTTCTTCCTCTTCTGTGGTCCTCTTGGAGGTTGCGGAAGAGAGTCCTTCAAATCTTGCTCCTCGAAGCGAAAAGGCAAAAAGGACAAGAGGTCAGGCGAAACCCAAAAAAAAGCGTTGGGGGTGTTGCGGGTGTGTCGTGTGGAGGGTCAGTTGCTGTGGACCCCAGGCGCCCGAAGGCCCGAACCCGAAGGTTTTGGGGTTTGGCGCAACCCCAAGCCAGGCCCACGCGCAGACCCCAGACGCCAGGCCCCGAACCAGGCGCGCAGACGCCCCAGAGGCCAGGGCCCCACGCCGCCGCAGAAATCAAACGCAGCGCGAGAAAAAACCCGAGTCCCCCGCCGCGCCGCCGCCCGCCCGCCAGGCCCGCGACCGAGCCGCGAAAGGCGCGCAGTACCAGCCCATGGCCATGCCCGATGCGCGTCGGTCTTGTCCGCCCCTCTTCAGTCCCCCTTCGGTCTCCTACTCCCCGCCCCCTTCCCCTAGCCCGATCTCTCCTCCGTGGCGGGGGGCCCAGAGTCCATTCCCCCTGCTCCATCCTCCAGCTGGCCCACTAACCCGATTCTCTCTACTCCTCTCATTTCCATATCCCCCTCCTCCGGTGCGTGCTGTGGTTCAGTGTTCTGGCGGGTAGCCTGTGGCCCATTCCTTCTCGACCTCTTCATCTCCTCCTCCCCCCCCTCTTCCCTTCCCCCCTGTTCGCCTTCCTCCCGCTCTCTCTCCTCCATTCTCCCCAGCCCGAGGCCGCAGACGCCGAGAGGGTGTGTGTCAGGCCCCAGTGTGCAGGACGCCCCGGACCCAGGCCCCGAAACCGGAGGGCCGCGGGACGCCCAAGGCCAGGGCCCCAGGGGGGGGCGGGCAGGACGCCCGACGCTTGGTGGGTTTAGGTGGGGCCGAGGTGACGCGAAGACACCCCAACCCAACCCGCCCACAACAACCCCCAGGCCCCCGGGCCCCCCCCCCCCCGACCACCACGACGCAGAGAACGCCTCCGGGAGGGGGGGGGGGGGGCCGGGCGGAGCGGGGCCGGGGGGGGAGGGGTTCCACCCAGACCAGAAGCAGCTCTGACACATGTCATAGTTATGACACTGCTGACATCGGTACCTGGGGGTATGGGAACAGGGGAATGCAGTAGTTTCTGCTTAAGCCCACTGCAGCAGGTAGTATAAGTACTAGTTTTGGACGACTTATTTTATGCAAATCACAAATATGAATGCTTTCTTCTGTCCCATTGGTGTATGGATTCACTGTATCTATGATAATATGAAAATCTACACTGTTTGTATGTACATGAAGTGGAGAATGAAAGTAAGTATTGTATGTGTATACAGGAATTGGGGGAACGGCAGAAGAGGAATGAAAAATGTGCAGGAATAAAAGTCGTGTAGATCTGATTCCGTCCTGACCTGAATCCGGAGATGGGTGGTCCGGCTCGGCAGACGGCACACCTGACGTCGTGTTGCGTCGTCTCGGCCGCGGCTGCTCTGTGCATGACGGCCAGCCAGGATAGTGGGAGGGGCTCCGTCTGGGCCCACGTCAGGAACTGCGGCAGGCTCAGCTGACCTGCCTCGTCTGAGAACTGATGGAGAGAGAGAGACCAATAGTCATGTGATTACGAACATCAAAGGAAAAAAACAGTATGTACAATGTTAAGGGCTAAATTTAGAAATGTTACTAAACATGGAATGAAACAAGTGCAAGAATGCAAGTAAGCTTCCATTTCTATATGTATACGTAACTGCCACATTCCCTTAATTACTACAAGGGTCCTCCCAATCAAGCAAAACTTGGAGTGTGAGAGTGTCCAACCTTTTTGAAGCAGTCCTGAGCGTGATAGTCCAGACTGTCCACGGAGCAGTATTGGGTCTGGAGCACATTCTGCGGAATCTGGTACCAAAACATAGAAACACGACTTTATAACCACAAACACCTTGCAAATGGGAAGAAATGAACTCACTCACAGAATTCATCAATGTTTTACACATTTTGTTAATTATGTCAGTGCGGCTGATTACCTGAACCAGATGTTCCAAAAAGTCAGCTAGTTGATGAAGTGTAATTGCGTCACTGTTTCTGGCCATCAGTCGAAATAAACCTAAAAAATGAGAAAGTAGTCAGGTGAAGGGCAACTAAATTTTGCTGGCTACGATTAAAAATTTAGCGGCGCAAATTTCTAGGGCATAAAATTCAGTCTACAATGCTAACAAATTTTTTTTTTTCAGGAGCTTAACTAAAAAATTTGACTTACATCTCTGTTTTTCCTCCAGCCTGCCCTGAGAGAGACACACCATGGCAATCTGGAAACTGGCGCACGTTACCGATCCCTCGTGCGTTCTGGGGGGTGGTAGGCGGGGCTTATCACCACGGCAACACAGTGTAATATTGTCGAGTAAAACAAATCTTATGCAACTACGTACAACCACGTTGCATACAACAGTCAAAAACTTATTTTTTCATGCATGGAGCATCACACATTAAAATTGTAGGAGACTTTGTAGCGCATTTACATACAATGTTGGCCATCACAATAATGCATCCTTTGGTGATTTATGAGACTTACGTACATGTATGTGGGCCATTACAACATGCAGGTGAAATGCTCACATGTCGTAGATGTCTCTAATCCAGGCGGCGGTCAACTCGACTGCTCTGTTGACGTACAGCGGCTCGGACTTGACAGCCGGGCGTCCCTCTGCCTGTTCAAACAGACCCAGACACAACATTATCATGTCCGAGCTGGACAACGCCTTGTGCGAGTTGTACATGCTGTAGACGTGGTCCTCCTCAAACGTCTGCATCGCGACTCTCGTCTCCAGGAGGTGGACTGGGGGTATGGAAACATGGGGATTGGGAATGGGACACGCGAGGAATTCCCCTAAGATGCAAAGAATGTGAAAACTGGCTGATGTTGCAACATAATGTGAAGAAAGTGACAGGTGTGTATATAATGAAGGAATGTGAACACACTGTAGAAAATAAATAATATAGAAACTGAATTTTTAAAAAGTAGGCGTGAAACGAAAGTTGTTGAGAAGAGAAAAAATGACTCACGCTGTGTTCTTTTCTGAAGGTTTCTGAGCTTGAGAGCAGCGGGGTAAGCCATATTGGGGTAACATGGCTGGTTGTACTCCGACTCCATACTCCGACTGATCTGAGATAGCTCGGGGTGCTGCCATTGCTGGCCTCCGTCCCTCTTGCTGTGCGTGGAGAGAATTACACACTTGTTATTAGTTAGGCACAATCAATTGCTGAGCTACATTCGTCTTTGACCATTAAAGGGAATGTGACAGCATAGAAGGGCTAAATTTACTAAAAATGGACATTAATTTCATTCATTCACTGGGCCTTATTGATTAGTTCCGTCTTTAACATTTCTAAATTTGGTCGTTCCGTACTCTGTCACTATGACAACACACGTAAGCTATATAATTGGTCACTTGACTCACTTTTCAATGTAGTATGGTGTTCCATTTCTGGTCTTTTCTCTGATCCATCCTCGAGGTAGAGCTGGGAAATAATACGCCATTTCACTTTTTATCGCTCTTCTATTTAATGCTCCCTCAGTTACAAAATTCTAGTTCTCCCAACTCATTAACCCCATGCTCACTAGCAACTAACGTTCTCTCATTTTAAAAACTTCCAGTTATCCTATAGTAACTCACAAGCCAAATTTAACCCCATGCTCACTAACTAGATTAACCCCATACTCACTAGCGACTCCAAGGTTCTGAGGATCGTATTTAACCAGGGCCTTATCGATGGCGGAGTATCTCTTTGTGATCGTCTTCTTCACCTCCCCCCATCTCTCGTGGAACCTTCTCACCAGCTCTACCAAGTCACCAGACACTCTTGCTCCAAGCTGGGGGATGTAAGAGAGCAAAAAAATTGGGAAGTAAAATTTTGGAGCTTGAAAAAATTGCACGTCAATTTTAATAAAATATTTACGTATTACGGATCGACACAGTTGCACTTTTTCCTAACCTGCATTAGCTTCTTCTGCGTACCGATGACCCTCTCCAGGACGTTGCCCACGACAACAAGCCCTGCCTCAAATTCCCGCAGCTCTTCCAGTTGCTGAGTCAGCATGACGACCCTGTTAGCAACGGGTGGCATTCCGTTTGCCCTCAGTTCCACCTCAGACAGTCTCTGACCACACTCCGCACACAGGGTCTAAAATACAGACCGAAATTTATGACAAGAAAAGTAACAGCAAATTTTTGCAGGTTAAACTTTCTGAATGAAACTACATTTTTATTCAATGACTGCACTACAATTTTATACCTGGAATGTCTCCATTTCGGGGTGGAGTGACTCCAGGATTCTACCCCATTCCTCCGACTCCGCCCTGACTTTACTCCATCTCTTCTCCACTGCCAAGAACTCACTTCTCAGACTGTCCATTCTTGACCTCTCTGGAGGAGGTGGGAAAGGGTCGGAGAAACAAGGGAACAGGAAAGGGTTAACTTTGAATTTGATAGAGAGAGAGTTAACTTCTTGACTTTCGTGAAGGACAATGTTTAAAAATAAACAACTACACCATCGTTGGTATACTTGACTTAGAGTTGCAATTGCTTCAGTTCAGTATTAAAGGGGTTAATTCTAATACTGGTTGTCATGCCAACCTGGTGTTCCGAGGGGCCAGTGGACATCAAGGAGACTGGAGCGACCAGCCTGAATGACGGCCTCCATCTTTGGCATCTGCTCCTCCACCTCCTGACTGAATGTCTGGTAGAGAGATAGACGAAAATGCAACATAAACTACGTCAAAACGATTGCATAATGCCAAATACAGTATTATTGTATAAAAACGCCATGTGTTGAACTTCCTGCTCTCATCCCTCATCAGGAGGTAGTTGAGTATCAGTCTGCACTGGATGCCGCATTTTTTCTTGGTAAAATTTTGTTTGATTTGAACAAGAATGTGGTCTCAAAAATTTGACTTGGGGGAACAAATACCTAAACATTTGCGTTGCGTGCTATATACCACAAAAGTGTTGAGATGGATGTATACACACCACTGACCTGGTGAGCGATGAACTGGGTGTGAATCTGGTAATAGTCTTCTCCCAGTGGTTTCTGTCGTGCCATGTGTTTCTCAGCCTGTTGAAGCCACGACAGACAGTCGGCCATTCTTGTCAGGAGCTGCTGTTTGTCTGTCAGTGACTCTTCTAGGGCCGCGTGCCTACGAGACACAGGGAGAGGGAGAGAGAGGGAGAGAAGAGGGAAGGAGAGGGGACAGGTAGGTGAGGGATTGTGGGGGTGTGTACAGGGTTGATTTGCACTGCACTCTCCAGCTATAGTAAAGGTATTCAGGATGGTTAGTTGGTCTGTCCTTCCCTCCACTTGCTTACTAAAAGTACAAACAATTTAGGCCACCCTATTCTTTCACTGCACTCTCCAGCTATAGTCAAGGTATTCAGGATGGTTAGTTGGTCTGTCCTTCCCTCCACTTGCTTACTAAAAGTACAAACAATTTAGGCCACCCTATTCTTTCACTGCACTCTCCAGCTATAGTCAAGGTATTCAGGATGGTTAGTTGGTCTGTCCTTCCCCCCACTTGCTTACTAAAAGTACAAACAATTTAGGCCACCCTATTCTTTCACTGCACTCTCCAGCTATAGTCAAGGTATTCAGGATGGTTAGTTGGTCTGTCCTTCCCCCCACTTGCTTACTAAAAGTACAAACAATTTAGGCCACCCTATTCTTTCACTGCACTCTCCAGCTATAGTCAAGGTATTCAGGATGGTTAGTTGGTCTGTCCTTCCCCCCACTTGCTTACTAAAAGTACAAACAATTTAGGCCACCCTATTCTTTCACTGCACTCTCCAGCTATAGTCAAGGTATTCAGGATGGTTAGTTGGTCTGTCCTTCCCCCCACTTGCTTGCTAAAAGTACAAACAATTTAGGCCACCCTATTCTTTCACTGCACTCTCCAGCTATAGTCAAGGTATTCAGGATGGTTAGTTGGTCTGTCCTTCCCCCCCCACTTGCTTACTAAAAGTACGAGAAATGTAGGCCCTTTTGTTCTACTCCACTGCACACACCAGCTACACGTACAATCTCTCCTTCCACCCCCACACGATCACTCAAAGCTTAGCCCTTACCTTCTAAGTCAAAAAATCTTGACAAAATATTCAACTACAACGCACAACTACGTATACATAACCTTGCAATGTAACGGACGTTAGATGTAGCCTCTTTCGAGTAAAGAGAACCACTAACCTTTCATGAGCCAACTTCTGCAGATGGTCCCATCTCCTTGACGCACTCTCCAGCCGCGAGCGGATGGCAGCTGGGTTGACATGGCAACTGCTCCCTTCCTCCCCCTGCAATTTGTAGCTGAGGAGTTTGACCGCGTCGAGGACGCCTTCGTGAGCTGCAAGCTCCTCCCGTATCTCCTGCAAGGAGAGAGAGGGGGAAAGAAGAAGAAAATTGATCCATGAACTTTTTTTCCCCTGTAAACTTGAATACCTTTAGTTTCATGAGTTGCATTTGAACAGTTGCCATGTTACTGACGAAGGGGTTGAGATTCGCCATTTCGGTATCAATGTTGCGCAACCACTGATGGAAGGACTGATAGTGACTGTGAAACTCCGCCCACTGCTGACTCAGCAAATTCACCTCCGGTTGGTGCCTTGCAACACTAGAGGGAAAGAGACGTTTGTTTCTGTGGATGTCAAAGGTTAAGGGGTGTGGCTTGTACCTCTCCATGACGACAGTCCAACGCCTGTTGATGTCCTGTAGGACGTCCTGGAGGTCGGCGGTGCTGTCATCGGCATGGTAACGAGTCGCCAAGTCTTGTCCTAGTTTGTTCAGTACAGACAGTCTCCTCTCCTGAACTGGAATCTCCTCCAGAAATGACTGTTGAAGGAAATGTCAGTCAATTACTTACAATTGCATGTTAAACCAAAACTAAAATTCTTTCACAATTTCTCGTTGTAATCTGCTTGATGAGGTACCCACGCCTTAACTCGCACTGCACATGCGTCCGAATCCACTAACGCCATGCCGCTTTTCAGGTGGTAAAATACCTGTCCTTGGAACGTGAGAACTAGAAAAATGATTTTGCTGGAACAAAAAATGCGGTACAGTAGTAAACTCAACGTCCGAGATAGTATATACATCTACTGCATGTACATATGTGGTTGCACACCTTCTGAGTCTCAATCTCGTTCTGAATGAGGCCCAGATCCATGGCCTGCGCCACGGTAACGGGGAATTCCCTCAGTCTTGTCTCGGCCCTCGCCAGGAAACCGACAAACTCCTCCTTCTTCTCTTCAAAGGAGCGCCAGAGGTCCCGGATCCGTTCCAGTCTCTGCCTCTTTTGTTCTATGGCAGTCTTCATTCCACTCCACAGCAGCTTGAGTTGGTAGAGGTCTTCGGGCATTGAGGCACCGGGGGACCCGGCAACCAGGAGTTCCGCTAGTGACGCAGTGATTGAGCTGGTGATCGATACCTGTGCAAAGATTAATAGTGGGAAAAGGGTTAACTAACTAAAGATAAAAATGGTGAAAAGCTTAAAGATTAGTGGGAAAAGGGTTAATTATTAACACAGTAAGAATGGAATAACTATTGTCGGAGTACAGCATTCAATGTTCTGGTTTTTACAATTTAGCTTTTCTTTAAAGAACGTGAGCGGAAGAAAAGACAAACTAACCATCAATAATAGTTCTACTATAGCTGGAGTATGGAATAGTATAACATTCAAACCAATTGCCAACTTCCTATCTCTCCTAATACCCCCTTATACTAAGGGTCTTAACGAATTTGCATTTCTTTAAAGAACTCTCAGCGGAAGAAAAGACAAACCAACCATCAATAATAGTTTGACTATGGCTGGAGTATGGAATAGTATAACATTTCACTTTCACAACTCCTAGGCAATTACACCTACTGTACCCTTCCACATCACGAATGGGAATTTTTTAGCAAATTTTTGCACTCAAGAGGAAAAATGTCAAACGAACTATAAGTATAGTACAGTACCTGTCTACTGAGGAGTGAGCGAGAGCCATTGTCGAAACTTGAGAAACTGGACAAGAGGGACATGGGTGGTGTGTGCTGCATGGACGAGGAGAGAGAGGAGGGAGGAGTGGGGAGACCGTGAGGAAGGGAAGTGTGAGAGAGGAGGAGAGGAAGAGAAGGCTGCTTCGGGAAACACTCAGAGAGTTTCGGGTTCGAAGAGGTCGTTTCCATGGAGAGTTGCCGCCGGTTGTCGAGGGTTTTCTGGGTTTTCTTGGTAGCGGTGTGCAAAAGCGTGCTTTTATTAGAGTGGTTGTCGTTGTGTTCGGGAACGTGTGGTGTTGCGGATCCGTCTTCCTCTTCCTCTTCCCCGCTCTGTTCCTGGACCGATTCCATTCCAGTCCAATTCTCGAACTGCCTCCTTCGTCTCTCGGGCGATAGGTCGACATGATTAACCCCTTGCTGGGGGTTAAATTCCCCGGAATCTTCTAGCGGCACCGACAGAGGTGGGGGTGATGGGGAATTTGATCGTTCACGTCCGGCCTCGTTGCAATGAGCTTCAGTTTCAGTATTGGTGCTGGGGTCTATGTTCCTCATGAAATGGTTGTAAATCTTCTCTTTTGACTGCAGCTCGGCCTCTATCAACTGTTGAACGGAGAAAGAGAGAGAGAGAGAGAGAGAGAGAGGGGGGGGGTAAATTGCCAGGTTCTGACTATGAAACAAAGTGGAACTCTTCTTTAAGACACCCTTAAAATGAGGACACCTCTCTATCTGTAGTAATCTCTTGCATACTCCATACACAGTCCAGAAGGACCTGCGGAAGGCGCAGGAAGGGTAATAAGTTACCCCAAGAACAGTTCTTGCATGCAGTGAAAAAGTACAACTCTCATCTTTCCCATTGGTGTGTGCATATGAGAGGGTTCCATTGTACTCTACTGAAAACAGAGATCAAGTTTTGATTTAGGCTCAAACCTGGAGATCTCTAAGTGCCCTGCGGACGTGAAGAAAGTCTCCCACCACCATTTTCTCCGGCTGCAGTTGGTAGTCTAGCATGATGAGCCACTCCACCATCTGTGAGGGGTCCTCGAACTCCTGGGGGGCCCGGAAGAGTGTGTTCTGGGGGGTCGTCGGGCTCATGAGAGGGAGGGTACCAGCCGGGACGCACTGAGATGGGGAGGGGAACGTTGAGGAAAAACAACCATGTTTAAAAACAGTTACCTATTCTGTATGTTTCATGCGTACTATGTGTCAGCTTGTACAGCGCTTCTAAATTAATATCTTATTTGTTTCCCTCAGTTCCGGAAACCGGGAAACTGTCTAAAAAGGGTTAATCCCAACCCCAACCTGATGACAGATGGAGTCCCAGTCCGCATAGAGAGCCAGAACTTCTTTCTCAATCTTCTTCTTCTCGCTGGTGTCGCCAGGCAACAGGAGGACCTCTGACACCAGTGATTGGTAAGACTCCATGTGAGGTTGCTTGGCAAGCAGCTGCTGCGTTATCGCCTGCAGCGAGGAGGGAAAGGGTTAAAGTTACATAGATACTCTAGTAGGTCCTAGATCTCGAAATCGAGATCACCAATCAGATCGCAGAACGGCCAATCAACGCCACGCGCATCCGTAGTCTGGGGACTTTGGTAGGCGGGGCCTAGCTCGTATGCATCATGTATTAGAAGAGCAGTTTGGATACTATGGACTAGGACTAGATTTTATCAATAGCTATATATACCAGACGCTCTTTTCCCCTGTGGGTGGAGCGGCTGGCTACGAGACTACAAACACATCACATGATCATCACATGACCCACCAAAACACACCTGAAATTTGACTCTGTGTTGCTGTGTTCCTGCCACGCCCCCCACCTCCAGCGCAGCCTTCGTGTCGTCGACCCACACGCGCAGGTCTTGCGTCTCGCACTCCAGCCGCTCCAGGAGGGTGTGGCTTGTTGCTAGGAGACTGCTGAGTGTCTTCAGCTCCGACATTATCCTTAAAGTTAAAAAAAATCAAAAGTGAAGTGTTGGGAACTGTACATATATACCCACAAATCCCAAAAATTTCGAACCTCTTGCAATCTTGTTGGAGTTCTCTACATCTCTTCTGTTGCTGGGCGGGGTCGACTCCGCCCACCACCACTTCCGGGAGGATGACGGCGTTGCCTTGGTTACCAGCCGGCGGTGACATCGTCTGAAGAAGGTTGACTTCGGTGGTTTGGAGAGAGGAGAGCAGCTGGCGACATTTTGACACCAGTGACTGTGTGTGGGAGGAGAGCCAGGCAATTGTGGTTAAGCTTCCAAATAGTTGTGGTTTTCAAATAAGATTCATTGCCCCCAAATAGTTGTGGTTACAAAGCCGCCGTTTTAACCTTTAAAATGAGATTCATGTGTGCACCCAAAATAGTTTAATAACGATATTCATAGGCAGAAGTGGGTTTAGCTAACGATATTCATGTACATACTTCATTTTTGACTCACCCTGGCTTTCTTCTGTTTAGCGATGACGTCATCCAGTTTCAGACTTGTCACCTCTAACCCCGGGAGGTCGCTTTCCATCGTCTTGATCACCGTGGCAACATTACGCAACATGTTGACTCTCAGGGTTGGCTCTAATTGGGGTACGACAGCAAGCTCTCCGCAAACCTTTTCCCAGTCTTCCTTGATCTGAAAACATTTTCAAACAGCGGTAAAAAAATTTGACTGGCGGGTATAAAAATATTTCTCATGAAGTAAAACTAAAAACCTGTTTGACTTCGTCGAGCAGGTTTTGGCAGGCGTGAGACTGAGGGCTGGCGGAGACGTATTTCTCCATCTCGTCCATCAACTGGTCAACCCAGTCTGACTTGTTCGACAGCTGCTTGTGCATTTCCTGGATAAACGGGACAGAGCATCGGTTAATGGGGCAACTCAATTCCCGTCCCGAATCCCGATACTGTGTATGTATATACATACCTTGCACTGTTGGATGTGACCTCTGACCTCGATGACGTCGTCCCTATCGCCGACGAGTTTGCAGGCGGCAGAGAGAGTGTGTGAGAGTGTCTGTAGGTGGCGATGGAGGGAATTTGTGAGCGTCTCCCTCTCCCTCAGTTCTCGCAGCTTTGTCGACAGCTGCAACAAGAGACCAGACAGTGAAAAAACAACAACACCCCTGGAACCCCAAATTTTAAGTGTAGTACGCACGTACACAATTCATAGTCATAAAAGCAGCCTTTTGTGAGTGCGATTGACAGTCGTGTTTATGTGAGTGCGATTGACAGTCGTGTTTATGTGAGTGCGATTGACAGTCGTGTACAGGTCTTACTTATTACAAAGTGTGTTAATTAAACCCTTTGGACACCATGGGTATCTCCGTTAATATGCAGAATTTGATGTATAACATAATTATTAACGCCTAGTATTATAGCCCCAAATACATTCTTATGGACTTATGTGTCCGTGGCTTGCTAAGGGTTAAAGGAACCACTAGTATTATAGACGTATGGGACATCCGTGGCTTGCTAAGGGTTAAAGGAACCACTAGTATTATAGACGTATGGGACATCCGTGGCTTGCTAAGGGTTAAAGGAACCACTAGTATTATAGACGTATGGGACATCCGTGGCTTGCTAAGGGTTAAAGGAACCACTAGTATTATAGACGTATGGGACATCCGTGGCTGCTAAGGGGTAAAGGACCACATATAAGCGTTGGGACATCCGTGGCTTGCTAAGGGTTAAAGGAACCACTAGTATTATAGACGTATGGGACATCCGTGGCTTGCTAAGGGTTAAAGGAACCACTAGTATTATAGACGTATGGAACTATGAAAAAGAGTTTTGTACGTATACCTGTAAGTTAGCGGACTGGAGAAGTGTTGAGAGATCAAACAGCCATATCTCTATGGTCTGTGTGATTCTAATGGAGGGAGGGGGAGGAGAGGGAGGGAGGGAAGAGGAGGAGGAGAGAGATGCCAGGACAACTAGACTCTCCTCATTCCAGCTGTTCAGGGACGCCTGCAGTTTCTTCAGCTGCGACAGCATACTCTGAGAGAACGGGAAAAATGGAGACTTCGTCACACGGAATGCAACACGTAATATTAGGGTTGCGTCATTAGTACATTGAGCATCATTACTTTTCAGCAACTATAAAAGAATTATTGTAGACGATAAGGCTACATGTTTCTGTAGATCGTGTACGTGATCTTGTCACTTTCATGTGAAAATTTTACATGAAAAACAAGCTTTACTACGGAGCGTGCCAGGTAAACTACGGGAAATCATGTACCTCGTGTGGACCAATCAGATTGCTCAATTTAAATCAGCTATGCAATATTATTATAAATAAGTGTGAAATTGTGCAGTTTACATTGTGAATGTGAAAAAAGAAAACTTTTGGTGACTTTCAACACAAAAATTACACTTTGCACCTTCATGTGTGAAGCGGGATTGATAAACGATATTCACAGCCGTTTCCAGGAAACAATATTCACGACAACATCCAGCTAATGATATTCATACCTCACAGTGGTCTATTCCATTGTGGACCTTCTCGAGATCGGGTTCACGCGGAACCCTCAGATTTGAAATTCTCCCCACGACCCCCCGAATGCTCTCCTCCACGCCCCCCACCTCACAAGCAAACGCCAGACATGCCTCCGTGTGGGTGTGGTCTCGCAGGAGACGAGCCGTTTCCTCGACAACCAGACGAGATCCTTCAGCCGGTGGAGGAGATGACTGGATGGAAAATACGACAAGATACGTGAATTAAAATTTAAGTGGATGCAGCAACGCATGATTGAAAGAAAATTTTGCTGATGGTAAAAAAACTGCGAATTATTCCGCAAAAATATGGTCTAACCTCTTTTGGTATCTGTGCCCATTCGTCGATGATAAACTGAAGAAGTTCCTCGTGGAGGGAGCTCGGCCGATGCCCCGCCCCTTTTCCACGAAGCTCCTCCCCCATTCCCTCGAGGTCGGGGCGGTAGGGGGAGGAGCGAGGAAGACGATGGATTGCTCTGTCCAGGTGACAAGTTGCTATCTGAAATGGTTAAGAAATGTACCTCTCATATTTTTACTAATACAGACCACACCCACTTCACAGGAAACCACACCCACCTGATTAAATTCCATCAATGGTGAAGGTGGTTCGAGTAGTGATTTCGGAACATCATACGTCATTTCTGGAGATGTGTCTCTCTCCTGTCCTGATGTCTGTCCTGAACAAGTCTGTCCTGATTCTCCCTGTCCTGAACTAGTCTGTCCTGATTCTCCCTGTCCTGAACCAGTCTGTCCTGATTCTCCCTGTCCTGAACCAGTCTGTCCTGATTCTCCCTGTCCTGAACCAGTCTGTCCTGATTCTCCCTGTCCTGAACCAGTCTGTCCTGATTCTCCCTGTCCTGAACGACCTTCTAGAAGCGACCGTGGAACGTCGTACAGAGGAGGGGAGAACACGGAGTCTGGACTGGTTGACGAAACCAGTTCACCACCAGAATGTCTAGCTTCATCTTCAGGTCCTGCAGAGATACATAAACAAGCCGGGGTAAAAATTTATCCTGAAAATTTGTGGTGGTGCGCTATAATTCTTCTCACATTTCGCAGAGAAATTTTTCTCCCACTAGAAAATTTGTGAGAAAATTATTTTGCCGCCCTACAAAAGTACAAGTCACTTACTAGAACCTCTTGTTAGAGTGCGAGGAACATCGTACACATCGTACGAACTCCCGAGAACTGATCTCGGCACGTCGTAGAGGTCATGTGACCCCTCTAGTTGCCGTGGTTGCGGGGTGGTATTGTCACGTGATACATCTCGTGCCGTGGCAGCAGCGTATCCTCGGGGAGGGGGCGTGGCTGTTGCAGAAGCGATCGGGGAGTGTCGTAAGTGTCGTAGGACTCTCCACGAAGGAGTGAGCGAGGAACATCGTAAAGCAACCTGGAATCTTGTCCCTCATCCTGTTTGGCTAGAGAATCGTATGTTGGGTGACCCCCTGGGAGAGGGGGGAGGGGGGAGCGGGAGAATTTTTGGCTCCCCTCGATTTCGTCGGGTCTGGGGGGCAGGGGGAGATCCCTTATCGATTGGCCGGCTTTCAAGTCCAGGAAACCACCACCTCTCCGTTTTCCGTCTCTCGATTTCTCGTCGATACCACCACCAGCCGGTCTTCTCGGCACCGGTGGAGGGTCGGAGGTCGTTTCCACGGCAACATCGTCTTCTTCCACGGAGCCGTCTTGCATGCTGACCTGTGCGTACGGTTTGAGTAGCAACTTTCGTTTCATCTTCGGAGTGAATCCGTGGACGTGGAGATCCTCGATGTGGGCGTAGTCCGATTCCTTCACGTTGGCCTTGGCTCCGTTCACGTTCCGTACCGGAACGGGCGGCAGGACCCTGCTCTGCTTCCGTTCCAGCATCTTCAGGCTGTCTTCTAGCTCGGCTAGCTCGGCATAGTCGGAATCTCTGCTCTTTGCTCCGTTTCCCTTCACACGAGGTGGCTTACCACTTCCGCCAGCAAACTCCATCATTTCGAGGCCTTCCTCAATCTGGACGAGTGACTTTGAAGCCTGAGTGACCTGAAAAACCAGTTCTCGGATCGATTCGTGGTCGGCAGGCGAGAGGAGCGAGGTGATTTTCTCGAGTTCTTTCGTGACAGAAATGAGAGTTGATTTGTGTTTCTTTAGTCCACTGTCCAGAGACTGACGAGAGAGAGAGAGAGAGAGAAGAGAGAGAGAGAGAGAGAGAGAGAGAGAGCAATGAACTTGAGCTAGCTACCATACTTATGTAGCTTAGGGTCACTATTGTTGAAGGGTAAATGTTCAATTTGTAAATAAAACCACAAAACTCACTGCACTTTAAAATGTACCTCTTTAGACGCAGCAATTCTGTCGCCAACTCCGCTGCTCTGCCTGCTGCGTTTGTTGATGGCCTGAAGTGCCAGCCCGGCCTCCGTCGACCACGAGCTGACCACTGACATCTCTACCAGCAGCTGCTCACACTTCACATGAGCCAACGCCTCGAGCTGCGAGAACACCTCTAGAATTACCTGGAAGACGAAGAGAGAGGGAGATGGTGGGAAAAGAAGACAATGCAGTAATCTGGATGTCCATATTAGTTAAGTGTCCTTATTTCAGGGGTTAAATTGCACAAAGAACTGTTCTTGGTGAAAGAAAAGGTGTCCTTATTAGAGAGGTGTCCAGAGGGCTGACCAAAAAAAGGGTTGTTATGCTCACCCCTTGATACTCCGTGCTGAGGTGCTGCATGTCGCCACGGATACAATCCCCGTCGAAGATGGGCTCTAAATAGAGTAGGTGGTTCGACAGCTGCTCGATCGAAGAGAGCTTTGTTCTCTGACCATTAACACCGGCCAGAGCCTGTATATGGTGAACAAACAGATCACGGGGCGAAAATGCATACCAATCATTCCGAAATTAATCTTAATTATTAGGTTCAAAAACCAGGCAGCTGGCAATAAACGGAAAAAGCCAAAAGATAAAGCGAACAACTCAATTACTTCATTCCAAAATAATTGCTTCGCATTTCTCGGTTAACCGCAATTTACGGCGCAATTTGTTTCGCGCTACAAGTGTGCTATTAAGGTCTTGTTTTTGCCGTGCACGTAATGTCAGCTTGGCACAATCACCGTTAGCAACGACCCCGCTAGCCAGCTGCAATCACTACTGTTGGCCAAATTAGAGGAACAACCTCAAAATTACCACTTAGCAACCAAATATGCCCAATAAACCAACGGTAACCGAGGGAACGGAAATATTTGTGAAGTACACGCCTCTATACTATGTGGAATGTAGTGCGTCTATATTATAAACAGTTGGGACATGTTGTGTATTGTGTGCATTCTTTTGCAGGGGGATACTGTGTATTATACGATATGTACAATATATTATATATACAATGTACTCTATATAATTATGTGTGATGTATGTAATAGGGTCATGTTGTTGTATTGTATCAACAGATGTCATATGGTGTTTTGACTGGGAGAGTTTCTATGGTAGCAATTGGAGAGAGGGGAGAAACATTGGTAGCATGCGTGGCTGTCTCTGTGACGGTAGCTAAATAGGGTCTCGATCTCTCTCGAAGCACGAGAGCGCGAGAGAGCGGGGAGAGAGCGCGAGAGCGAGGAGAGATCTAGCGAGCTGCGAGCGAGCGCGAGCGAGATCGACGATCTATCTCATTCGCGATCTCGACTCTCTCCTTCGTATCCTCTCTCATGCGTCTCGATCTGATCTCTCATCTCTCTCCTTTTCTCTCTCTCCTCTCTCTCTCTCCTTCTCTCTTTAGTACACTTGGTTCTAATACATTAGTGTACTTACTACCTCCTAATAAGGGACACCTCTGAATAAAGGACACTTTCGACGTTCCCAAGGTCCCTTATTCAGAGGTTCCAATATACATACACATACCTCAGTAAGAACATCCCATGCCTCGTCCAAACGCTCTCCTCCCATCTCCCTCGACAGCTGCAACTTCTCTTTAGTGTCGGCCAGAAACTCGGTCAGCAGTTTGAGGTCACTTTCAAAGAGAAGAACAAACTCCATGACTTCTTCGACCTACGCGAGAGAGAGAGAGAGAGAGGAGGGAGAGGATGGAGAGGAGGGAGAGGAGGGAGAGGAGGGAGAGGAGGGAGAGGAGGGAAGAAGAAAATGTCTTGCGTTCTTTCATGGCATACAAAATCGATGCGAATGCTTCAAAATGACGAAAATGCAAAACAAAAGATCATCAAGCAGATTGAAAGAGAGAGAAAAATGATGGGGCAAAGAAATGGAGGACAAAGGACTAGAGGGAGGGACAGTAGAGATGTGAGGATTGAAGGGAGGACAAAGTTGACAAAAGAACCAGAGAGGAGAAAAGATGAAGCAAAAGAGGGAATGATATGCCCATGGTTACCTGGGTGATGCTGTCTCTGCAGTGTTTCTCAAGCAGCTGGATCCTCTCACTCAACTTTACAATCTCGTCGCGGTTTTTCTTGACCTCCTCGGGGGGAAATTCCGGCCACCGGGAGGCCGGGGGGTTCATGAGGGAACCGAATTTCTGCATCGATGAGGGGGAAAACTGCGCGCGGAATCGCACTAATTCAAAGTCCTGTACTTCTAACAGCGCCAGCATTGCCTGGGGAAGAGAATACAGAGCTACTATATGTATTATATGTATTATATCTATACTATGCATAAATATAATAATTGTACATGTGTGTGGTCAAGCCAATACAATATTTCTGACGGCTTTGACTCATATACAGTGGAACCTCTCTCTAAGGACACCCCTGAAATGAGGACACCTTTTCCTTCCTCCAAAAACAGCTCTTGCAGGCAATTAAAAAGGACACCTCACTAATATGGACACTTTCTTCTGCCGTGTCTGGAGCAGAGGAGTTCCACTGTTTTTTCAGTAAGAGTGGCACTCTGAGATATTATGTGCTAACCTTCACTTCCCCGCCGTGCATCTCCAACTCCAGCGATCCGAGACTGCATCTCTCCCTCTCAGCGATGTCCTGAATGTGCCCCTGCAGCTTCGTTGCCAGGCCACCAAGCCTGTCTTTCAGACTCCCGTCTTCGCCAGACACATCTTGTAGTGGAGTCACTGGGGACTCGTCACTCCACCTCTTTCTCCCTCTCCCTCCTACGTAATACCTGGAGATATGGGGCAACAACGACCACTGCCATTATAAGAGAGAAGACCAGCCTTTTGTCTGGGTGTTTTTTATAGAGGCTGACCCACAGTAGAAGTAAAAAAGAACGTCCAAAAATGTTCACTAACACTGTCATCCGTTGTGAACAACTGTTGAACAATTTTGGAACAATTTGGAACGATTTTTGAACGATTTTTAAACGATTTTTGAGAACGGTTTTTGAAACCTACTGCATACTGTCAAATTTTGTGATTGTTCACGCAGCACATCGCATGCAATTGACAACACTAATGCTCCCTGGACCCATCATAAGTGTACTGTGCGTACGTTGGAAGTTGCATTCACACAGTCACATAGTGAATTTGGTCTTTACATACGTACATATTATATACATACCTTTGACCCATGTCTTCAACATCTTCCTCTTCTTCAAGACCACGCCCACTTTCATTGGGGTAACTCCGGTCCGAGTCTGAGCGTGCCTCGTTTATTTGACCTTTGACCTCTGTGGGTTCCCTGTTGCAGAGATGATCATATCTGTCGCTGCCGTGACTGGTGAGTGACCCGAGGGACAGTCTGTCGTAGCCCGGTCTCAATTCCATGTTAGTATCGGTATCGGAGCCTTCCCGGTCCGATTCCAGTCCCAAATTTCCGGTTCCAGATCCCTTCTGTTGCGAAACAGCTCCGTCCCAGCCACTAACACCAGTAGCACCTCTCTCTCTACTTCTTTCTTTCTCCCCTTCTCTATCTTCCAATTTCACTCCCGCTGTACTAGCTGCGAGCGTTTGCTGAACATCGGCTACCAAACAGCCTCGAGCTTCCAAAACCGGTTTAGCCGGTTGTTCTCTGCGGACGAGCGAGACCGACGGCCTGGTGCTACTGCTCGTGAACTGGCTGGCAATGGAGACTGACTCGCGGGCCAAGTTATCAAGTTTAAATGTCTGTATTCGTAACTGCTGTGGCTTGTTTTGGCTCGTCCTTGCTGTAGCTTCCTGTGATGAATTAGTGTCACTTCCCACACCTTTTCCAGCTTCTACCGTTTTGTCGACTTGTCTGGCACGTGTGGAGTCGCCTTTTGCCGGGGAGGAAGGGGTTAAATTTGGGGTGGGTGTGGTTTTCGTGCCGCCGGGGGTTGCCGTGGAAGCGGTGGTTGATTTCGCATGGGCGGCGTTTTTGGGACGTGTTGTGTCTGGAAGAGGGAGAGAGGTATAATTGGAATTTTAATTAGGTGAAATATGAGGGAGAATTACATACGGCATTCCAGTGTTGTTGTTTATTCGCTATAGTTACGTATGTAAAAACAAGTAAGTTTAGAGAGATGATGATGGCTAACCTGATTGGTCGGTTTTCTTCTCCATTGTTATCCTCTCCATCAGGCCAACTGGTTTCTTAGCAACTGGAGGGGGCGGGGTCTTCTTTTTCGTTGAGTCAGCACGCCTCCGTGGAGATAGAACCGGGATCTCCATGTTATCGTCTTTCAGCATAACTTTAACTCCTGAACAACAAAAATGTAAATCATAAATCAGGATAATTTCCCAAAGTGCTGATATAAATATTTTTGCGAATGCAATTAGCCACAACAACTATTCACATTCAACCCTACACAAATACGCTAACCTTTTCTTCCCTGCAGAAGAGGACTCTCTTGTCCATCTCTCGGGACCTCCCACTCTCCCATGTCAAGTCCCATGTCGAGATCTCTGGTACCGGCTCCGGACACAGCAGGCGGACTTTTCTCTCTCTCCCCCTCCTCCCCTCCTCCCTCTCTCCCGCCTCTCTCTTTCCTATTGGAATCCTTTTTCAGTCCACCGCCAAATCCATGTAGCTTCGAAAAACGAGACGCTTTCTTAGCTTTCGATTTCTCTTCCTCCTTTTCCTTTCCATTTGATTCCCGTTTTTTGTTTGCTTTCAGTGGTTGTTCGGTCGTTGTCTCGAATTTCTCGCTTCCCGAGGTTTGTTTTAAAAACTGAGGCTTCTTGGGAATCGATGGTTTTGGTTTCACTATCGGAGGTGGGGATTTGAGTCTGTTGCCATGTTCGGGTGATTTCATGGTCGGTAGAACTCTCACTCTAGTTCCGCTTGTAAGATCGTGAGCTGGGCTTGATTTGGGCTGTCCAATCCGCCGATTGGGCGACCCGTTTCCAAACACAGGTAACTCGGGACTGTCCCGTTTTTCAGACGGATGTCCCGCATTCGGCGAGCAACTGCCCCGATTTTCACCAAGGCTTTCGTGACTGGGCATCTTGAACATTCTCCTGCCTGCTATCACTGGCGATCTATCCAGTGATAATATTTCTGGGATTGGATCACTTTCGTTCCTTGTGGGCTCCTTTTGCTTCTTTGGTGCCTTCTTTGCAGGCTTGGCATTTTTGGTTTTGGGATCTTTTGGTCCGCTTTCGGTAGTTTTGGTTTTCGCGTCTCTGGTTTTGGTCTCTTTTGGTCTGCTTTCGACAACTTTGTTCAGAGCTTTGGTCTCTTTTGGTCTGTTTTCGACAGTTTTCGTCTGCTTTGAGCTAACCGGTGCCTTCGCCAAGCGACCACTACCAATTTCATCCTCCTCGCTATCATAAGAATTTGCACTGCGAGTTAGTGAGTTTAACCCCTTCTGAACACCGCCCCCCTGTTCTTCCTCCTCGCGGTCGTGAAGAGAGAAAGTTGTCGGACGAACGAAAACCGGTTGATAATGAGAACCGCTGAGTGCGCGACGATGTGTCTGTACTGAGCTGGGTCTGGCAGGGGGCGGAGTTTTAGTGACACGCTCCAGTTTAGGGGTCTGCGAGAGGGAACGGGGTAAGAATTTTAGCCCCCCACCGGGGGAATTTCTGGCCCCCGAGGTAGCTTGGAGGAGAGACGACAGTTTCGAGTATTGCGTCTTAGCAGTTGTGCAAGTGGTGGAAAATCTCTGACTAAGATCTCCGACCGTTTCGTAGGCTTTTGCGTGTCTTTGGGCGTGTTGGTCGTCTTTGGTCTCGTTTCGCATGTCTTTGCAGAGAGCGGTAATCTCTTGGAATGTACCGCACTGCTCCTTCATGTTCAGGAGTATGTCCTGCAATGAAGATTGTTGGAAGAGAGACAAGAGAAGGGTTAAAGAAAGTTGTAACAAACAAATTTTAAAGAAACAACAAACAGACAAACTGAACGAAAAGTGTTGAACGTGAAGTCGGCACAAAACACCAGTATGGAGCAAGTCTCATTTTGACACGTAATTTGGATGTTGCCAGGCAAAGATGCACTAATTAAGATCAACACAGAGAATATCTTTAGGCACGAGAATGGGACTGATGAATGTGGAATGGGAATGAGACAATCAATGTACAGGAATGGGAATGGGACTATCAATGTACTAGAATGGGAATGAGACTATCAATGTACAGGAATGGGAATGAGACTATCAATGTACAGGAATGGGAATGAGACTATAAATGTACAAGAATGGGAATGAGACCAGCAATGTACTAGAATGGGAATGGGACCCACCTTATACTGGAGAGCCAGATCTCTCAGTTTGGCTTCATCTGTACCCTCGTCTCCACCGTGTCCCGATTCCAGGTCAGTCTGGACTGATGACAGTGAGCTCAGCTGGGCCGAGCATGTGTCCAGCCATCGAGTGAACGTCGCTAAGGAGTGATGGAGGACGTCAAACTTCCTCTCAAGGCTCACCATGGCAACGACCTCTGTGACCTCTAATCAACACAAAGAAAAAGGCATAATTAAACAATTGAACGGCACCTATATAGGACAACAGTTTCGTCTGCACAAACTTTCTAACGATGGACTCTGTCCAAGCATATAATGCATTCGTGGGGTGTGCCAGTCAATGTCAATGTATATAAGTACTCTTAGTACACCAGAGTGTGGCTAGGATTTGATCTATCACAATTACATGGGTCATCAACTAATCTTCCATAACACATACGTTGTACGCATCCAATGATGTGCTATGGGAAAAGTGACCATTCTTGGTCAGAATGTATGCTTACACATTCAGTCTACGGTCAAAGGACTTTATAGCAGTTACCTTTTATCAGACACACACGACAGATAACTTTAAACGAAGTAAATATAGGGAGCTATAAAAGCAGTATACACTCGCGGGAACATTAGACATAATTATTTAGCTACCAGTCTATTTCTGCAGGCTGTATGTCTGTGCACGAGACTATATAGAGGGATACTATGGGAAGTGGTTTTCCAACAGAAGAAGGTGTGGTATAATTGACGTTACAGCCCCTATTGTTGGAGGGGGCAGAGGGCCATATATATAGAGACCAGGCGTCCCTCCCGTTACGAGATTATGGCACACGTATTGAGGCTGTTTCCATATAGAGTGAGTCACATGTGTCATAAACAACCTGGGTGTGGTGCCTATATCTAATAATGCCCAGTGGAGTATACGCAGCACTATATTATACAACGTCAACATGTTTGTCGAGAACCTCATTACTAGGCGGCGGTGTAATACAATAAAATAGGAGCCCCTCTAATCCAGACACCAACGACACAGAAGATAGTGTCCCATTTCAGAGTTTTTAATTGTTGTTGGGGAAAGAAAAGGTGTTCGTATTACAACTAGAGAGGTGTCCTCATTTAAGGGATGTCCTTAGAGAGGGGTTAATTAAACTAGATAGATATTAACATTACAGACTGATCATTTTCAAGATTTGTGAACCACCTCTAGAACATCAAGGGCAGGACAAAATCCAGAGTGATGCCAAACCATCCCACCCCCGGGGCCAATAGGTGGGGTCTCATTAACAAGTAGACGCTTTTATCATCACTGCCAAGTAGACAGACAGAAAACGATCGCTTGTGATTAATTGGCCATTTTTCACTGCTATGTTATGTGTGTGTGTGTGTGTGTGTGTGTGTGTGTGCATGTCATTTCACTGCTCTATGCAAGCAGGGGTTAAATTGCATGCAAGAACTGTTCTTGGGGAAAGAAAAGGTGTCCTTATTAGAGAGGTGTCCTCATTTCAGGGGTGTCCTTAGAGAGGGGTTGGTATGGAGGTAAATCATGAGGTCCTTCATTCCTTGTCTGCACACTAGCTAGCTCAGATGATGGCGTGTCAATATACCGACAATCGATCTCTTTAATATCAAGTGTCAACATCATCTCCAATCCTTCACACGGTATCTTTACCAGGACACTCTTTCAGGACAGCGTTTTGTTCCAGGGCGTCCTAATTAGTGGGTCTGTCGGTATCCAATAACACCCTCAGGAATGTAAAACTCCTTTAGTTAGTAATGACTTCATAAGTATCATGTCCTCTACTATTAGTAGTTGTCTCCTTCCCATGACGACCACAACCTGTGTCATCCCTATATACTAAGTACTACCACCGTACTTAGTGATAAGGTACTGATAAACCACAACATGCCAGTAGCTAGCCTTATAATACACACTGAGACATGTTTCCTTGTCCTCTAACGCATTCTACAGGTATTCATGTACAAAACTAGGATTCATGACTTCAAGCATACTACAACTACATGTACATCATGTGAACTACATGTACATTGCGTGCAGAAAATGTACATGTAATGTTAGAATCGTGTACATTTCGTGAGTGATTTGTACAAAGGCATGCAGAGGAATTCTGTTTTTCAAGTGCTGCATGTCCATAACATAAGAGTGTGTAAGACACACTCTCTGCCCACCACGTAAGCCATGCCGTTTGTCCCATACAATCGTCCACCACCTGTTTTATTGCGTGTACAGCTGCACGTGTACGTACAGCTGCAACGATAACACAGAAAACACAGTATTACACACAAACAGTTGAGTCGACACTTGCTCCGCACACATGAACGTCTAGGTACCACTAGTAGCCATAGAGATGTAGTACAAACAAACGCTAATCAACTTAGACAAGACATCCAGACAGTAATTTACCTGAGTATTCCATGCATATATCTTTCCAAATGCGTTTTAGGTAACCCACAGCAGAGAATAGGCTAGGTTTACCGACCCATTTCAGGGAGGGAGATTCAACCGCCACAAACTGGGTCAGCTGCGTGGTGGTAGAACGTGACTAAGTAGTTGGTCTCGTTCCAAGAGTGTTTCCATTGCTCATTGTCCCGCCTAAACGCCTTCCCAGTTACACCAAGACGTCTTGAACGCGGCTAGAGTTACAGTTTCCACGAAGGAAGGCTCTTTTAGCCTACCGGCACAAAGACTAATCCAAGAGGCGTCCCTAAAACTCATTCGCAAACCTGCTGCGTTTCGTTTTAGGTCCTCAGCCAAAAAACGGGGCGTTTTCTTTCGCTAGAAGGTATTGCAACCGCGAATTAGAGCGACATAAGGACAGACGGTACAGAAACACTTTAGCTATATTATAAACTAACACAGGGGGCTACATAGCGAGTGTGGAAACGCGTTTCTAAACACTCACAGGGCGCTACATAGAGAGTGTGGAAACGCGTTTCTAAACACTCACAGGGGACTACATAGAGAGTGTGGAAACGCGTTTCTAAACACTCACAGGGGACTACATACATAGAGAGTGTGGAAACGCGTTTCTAAACACTCACAGGGGACTACATAGCGAGTGTGGAAACGCGTTTCTAAACACTCACCGTTGCTATTTTACTGCTTCAGCTGTGCAGTTTAGCGCCTATCTATCTCTCTCTCTCGCTCAGTATCCAGCGTTCACCTGATGAGCTTTCAAATCGGTCAGAAGAGTGCGAGAGAGACACTCAGAACGGCCGTCCTTCTTCTCAAACTTCCTCGAGAGGGGGAGTGGCTAGCTAAATCAACTGCTGCGGAAAAGAAAAGACAATGATTATGGACACGTGGGCGTGGTTTAGTCACACATGCGCACTAATCCAAGGGGCGTGGTTTATAACTGCGCATGCGCTTTGCGACCATGACTGAGAAGCATAGTTGGTGGGTCAAAATTTTCACTTTTTATACTGCTCTGTGGGTACAATTTGCTGCACAGTGAGTTGAGGGTTCCATTTGAACATGAGGGTGAGGCTGAGGTGGCGTATAATACTCTGAAGGTGGATCCTGAGCCCCCGAGGTCAGGGGTAACAAAGTCATTTCTTCTGGAGAAGAATATGCTCATTGTGTGAGACAAAAAACTCTTCCTTTATTGTCCATCTCTCTCTCTCCTCTCTCTCTCTGCTTCTCTATCTCTTGTTTCAATGTTCAATGTAACAAAGTCAAATCCAGAAAGTCCGCCTCTAAGGAAGACCCTGAAAAAGACACACAATTTTCATCCTGTAATAATTATTTTCTCCTCCGTCGCGGCAATTTATTGTCCCTCTCTCTCTCTTTCTCTCCTAAAGCACCTTCGAGGCTGAAGAGGCGAGAAAGCTAAGAGTGGCAGTTGGCTCGTCTTTCGACCTCATCTCCCTTGTCGTGGACACAATCAGAGAATTCGGGACCACACCTCCTACTTAGTGATAGAATGTGCCATCATTATCATTGTTACTAAAAATATCCCCTCCTTACTTTTATATATATAGTTCCACGTGCTTTTGGTGCTGAATTTTGATCAACCTGTGATTTATTACCCTCGGCGCGCATGCGCAGCGAGGGTACTGTAGTTGGGTGTGTGTGTACGTGTGTGTGTGTGTGTCTGTTACTCTACATCTCACCTCTCGAATGTCTGTTCGTCCCAGAAACGATACCATCTACCCAACGGGCGACGAAGGTCAGAAAATATGTGGGGTTTTCTCTGAAAATGCTCCGTTGCAGAGCTAGAGCGCTTCTAGCATTGTATGGCAGTCGCCATTTTATCGCTTGCGCATGCGCTTATATTTAGCACAGGCACACCTCGACCGGGTCCGCTTGCTCTGTCTATCTTGAAGGCACAAGAAGTCACAACGAATGGCGTGTATCGACTCTCGCGTGCTATCTACTACTGTAGCTAGCCCCGTGTCAGACTCTCTGCGAGCTACTTCGCCGAGGGTTTGCACTTTAGTGCTTTTCATTTACACTGTTCCCATTCAAGTAATGGTGGTGGTCTGATGGATAAGCACCCCCTCTCTTGATCGTGAGGTCCCTGGTTCGATCCCGGGGGTGTGCGCCTTTTTTACAATGATGTAATAGGAGTGTGGTATAAGTGGAACGTTTTTTCATCACTTCTCAAGGCCAGCCCGAGTGGCTAGGTGGTTAGAGTCGTGGGGACTGACACCATAGGTGCGGGGTTCGTATCCTCGATCCGCACTAAAGTGTCAGGTGGTCCGGGAACAGCTCTGGTACCTCCCCTTACCCACAAATCTACCACTGAACCATGTTTCTCAAAGGGCAGCGTACAGTTCGGCATTGCACTACGTCCGTAGACGTCTGTCTGGAGAGATGAAGGGCTGGCCGTTTTGTTTTTTTCACTAAACAATCCACAGGTAATACGAAAATTAATAGAGAGATGAAAGGTTGGCAATTTTTCAACCTTGTATATTTTTTGGGCCTCAAACAGAAATGGGGCTGGCCATTTTTCATGGAAATAGTGTATATTCTTTTTGATGCATGGTCAAGACCATCGATTGTGGTGGTGCACAGTGTGCCGAGGGTTTGCACTTTAGTGCTCTTCATTTTGAGCATTGTGAGGAAATGTATGAGATCAAGTTGAATTGGCAAATTACTGCATAGCACAGTTGAGGAAAACAGCTGCCCAGTTTTTTTCGAAGTTCTTTATTATGGCCTCCATTTACATCCTATTTCATAACACCACGCTTTACAACAAGAATGTTTTTAAGAATGTTGAATGTTAAACAAGAAACACAACAACAACAAAAACAAAAGTAACAAAACAACATTACACTAAAAAGAACCTTTCAATGGTGGCAATAATTTGAATGATGATTACAACAACATAATGAGTAATAATAATAATAATAAAACACAAATATATGCAAATTAAAAACAGCAGACGTACATACAATCTGCGATGAGCCTGTATTTCCTGTTCATCAAAATTAAAATCACAGACCGACCCTATATGTGCACGAGGGGATGATAAAGTATTACATAACCCGTCCCAATAAACTTGGGACAGTGATGATTAATGTGACCTGAAAATGATGTATAATTGACAACGATAACTCTAAATAGACGAGAGGAGAGAGAGAGAGAGAGAGAGAGAGAGAGGAGGCGGAGTTTAGGACGTCGAGGTGCTCTGTTGGTGAACGGCGATGTTTGGTTGGGAGGCGTTTCCATGGTTATGCATGTTGCGGCTGATTTTGGGGGACGAGTAAGCACGGTATCCAGTTAGGAGACAATCGCAGCCTAGAGCCCCTGCACCACAGTCACAGAAAAACCTGATGAGATAGAGAGAGAAAAGTTAAGCCTTTGCATTTGCGATTGCTTGCTAAGAAAAAATTCGCAACTGTATATACAGTTAAGAGAGTAAACTATCACGAGGTCTGAACACACACAGGCACACTGACCTGTCGTGTCTGACAAACTGAACTCTGTGTTCTCTATGGCAACTCTTGACGCAGTTGGCGCAGATTGCATCACTCTCGGAGCTCTCGCATGTGAGGCAGCGATAAAAGTCGTGCATCGGATACGAGTTGTCTCCCGAGATTGAGAACAGACATTTTCCAGAGCAGAGGGCATCTTTTAGAGTTCTCCCGTTGCCATGGACACGGTTACCTGGGTGAGGGAGTAGACATAAACCGAAAAATAAAAACATGCATCATTGCCTAAAGTAGAGCAGAACTTGTATATATTATACTCACTGTTGAATCATAATTATACACATGTTGGGGCTATGGTGGGGAGAAAATGGCCTCCTCAAACAGTTCCTCCCCTCAAAAAAACAGGACCTCTCCCCTCAGCTAATAATTGCATGCTCACCAGACACGGTTGGCTTGACTCCAGTTGCCAGGCAGATCCCTTCGAATCTGTTGTCAAATACCTCGTTATCATGGATCTCGCCCCCGCCCCCATTCGTCACTTCAATTCCGGCGGCATGGCTACCAAACACTCTGTTCCTCCGCATGATTGGTTGACTGCCTGAACTGATGAGGATTCCTGGAGATAGTCATGTGACAGTCACATGATAACACACTAATTATGATGTAATCTCTTCAACTCGATGGTTGAAATTGCAGAAAGCTAAGTTTTATTGTATATACTACATTCTCATGTGAAAGTCACATGATCCCACACAGAGATCACATGACTTCCTCACCTGAGAGTGAATTGTTGAAGATGTCGTTATCCTCCAGGAGACCACGCCCACTATTGAAGATACAGACTCCGCCTTCTTTTCCGTTGTAAATCTTGTTCCTCCTCAGCGTTGGATTGCTGTCTGTTTTAATCCAGACGCCAGCGAGTGCGTTGCCATAGATATCGTTATCTTCAAGTACACCTTCTCCGGAATTGTAGATTAGAACTCCGCCGTTTTTGCCGCCAAAGATTTTGTTGCGACGAATGTTGGGATTGCTACCAGTTCTGTTAGAGTGGAGGGTGGGGAGGAGAGGAGGGAGAGAGGAGGGAGAGAGGGAGAGAGGAAGGAGAGAGGAGGGAGAGAGAGGAGGAGAGGAGAGGAGGGAGAGAGAAGGAGAGAGGAGGGAGAGAGGAGGGAGAGAGGGAGAGTAATAATGACAGAGTAAAAAAGGCATTCCACGTGTGTGTGTGTGTGTGTGTGTGTGTGCATGTGTGAGTGTGAAGTGTGAACGGTGACTAACCTAATTTGGATGCCGGAGAAAGAATGATTGTAAATGTCGTTTCTTTCGAGGACTCCGCCTCCGTTGTCATAGAAATAGATCCCAACCTATATACAAACACAAGAATGTTTTAACAACAGCTCCATTCGTAGTCTACAACTTTCTTGTGAGAAATGTAGTGAATAAATCTCCCTCCTTCCCTCCCCCACCCCTCCATTCTTAACACTTAACCAGCTACTGAAAAATCCTCCAGAAGTCCATAAGAATTTATATAGGATTATAATACTAGGCGCTAATACTTTATACATCAATTTCTGCTATTTTAAGCAGATCCCCATGGCTTCCAAAGGGTTTTAAATACCTGTTTTCCGCTATGAATCCTGTTCTGCCTCAGAACAGGCTGACTCCAGTAGTGATCCAAACTCCAGCCAACGCATTCGAATGAATCTCGTTACCTCCACCAGACCACGCCCACTATCGTGCTGGAGAAGGATGCAAGAGAGATTACGTCATCATGACATCATTCACAATAAGCATAAAAACAACAAAATTGCAATAATTATTATCACTCACCACGTAGATGCCGCCATGGAGACCGTGATGAATCTCATTATTCCTAATGATAGGGTCGCTCCCCGTCCTTATTTGGACTCCGGCTAGCGTGTTGCTATGGATATTGTTGTTCTCGAGGACACCCCGCCCACCTCCGAAGAAGTAAACTCCGCCCTGGAGACCGCCAAATATCTCGTTGTCGCGAAGTGTCGGATTACTTTCGCTGGTGATCCAGACTCCAGCATACGTGTTGGCAAATATCTTGTTCTCTATGAACTGGCCACGTCCCTGGAGGTGTAACCATGGAAACCGATAAACAACACATAACCACGGCAACCAATAAAACAATGGCACCCACAGACGAACCACCGCAAATTTTTCATCACTAAGCCCAGAAAAACAGCAAAAATTATAATTCTATATAATTATTGTGATTACGCACGATATGTCATTACATCATAGTGACATCATTCTCTACTCACCCTATCGTGAACGTAAACTCCGCCGGTAGAGCCGTGATGAATGGAGCATCTGTAGATGATTGGATTTGCGTCGTTTTTGATCTCGATTCCTGCGATCCTGTTACTATGAATATCGTTGGACTCCAGTACCCCCTGTGTATGGGGCAGAGAGAGAAGAGAGAGTATAGTTAACCCCCCCAAGTACTGTAGTTAACCCCCTAAGTAAAATTCAGTCTTTGTACTATTAAAACCCTTTGGACGCCATGGGTATCTCCTTAAAGAAGCAGAAATTGAATTCTTATGGATGCTCTGGGCATATATATATGCCCGTGGCTGGCTAAGGGTAAAATTTTTTGTAGAGATTACATCATCAGTTTGCGTGGGTAGCAAATAAGGGCGTCAATGCACACCTGTCCGTCTTGAAATACGAAGAACCCCACATCTTTCCCGTGGTGGACCTCGTTCTCTCTGAACACGGGAGAGGCGTAGTTCTTGATCCAAACTCCTGCCAGCTTGTTCCCGTGGATGTTGTTGTGCTCGAAATACCCCTGGAGGTCAGTAAAACATTGGATACTCCAGTAAATCTCAGGATATCAATGTTCAAGTTTTGGATACTCCTGTAAACTCTAGCATGTCATTTCATTCTCGAAACTTTGGATATTCTAACTAATAAACAGGCAGTAAATTTTTCAGGACATTCCAGTAAATCTCAGTAAACTACAAACGGGCATTAGAATACTAAAAATCCTCAGTAAATCTCAGTAAACTAACTCAGCAGTAAACTCACGTGGGCGTGGTCGTCCACGAACACTCCCACGTTGTTGGCGTTGGCGATGGTGCAGTGGGTGACACGTGGCCGAGCGCCTGAACCGTGAATGTACACACAGGCACCGCAGAATGACGTGTTGGTGAAATGACAGTTGTGTACGTTTGGACTGGCTCCGCCTGGTACCTGGATACAGTACTGCCGCAGACTGGGGTTGTCCTCCGGCGCATCAAACTGGTAATTAGAGAGAAATATCGAAATATCGCAGATAAATAGAGAGATGTATTGAAGGCAAGAGTATTTAGATAGCAATTTCGAAACCAGTGTCGTAAAACACAAAGTCAAAGAGAAAAACAAAGTCACAAAAGGCAATGTATAGAAGAGCGTTGTTGTGGTGGTTCAATGTTAAATTAGAGAGAAAAATCGAAACCAGTGTCATTCAATACATACCTTGATCTCCATGTTAGCGATGGTAGCATCGCCAGCAGATGGCTTCACATCCACCACTGTCAGCGATGAATTTACTAATAACACCTTCTCCGGACCTATTCGGAATTAGACATCATCAGTACGTGGGGTATTGGAGATTACATCATTATTACATCACCGAAAACAATAGAGACAAATCTACACAGACTCTGGAGTTGAAAATCGTAAGAAATTGGTGGAAATAGAGATTATGTCATGATTACATCACCGTAAATGAAGACAAATCTATACTATAGTAGCATTTGGAGGGGGTGGGTACACAACAGGAAATGAAGGTGAGTAATTAGGCTCCAGCCATGACGAATTAGCGATTACATCATTGTTTTATCACAGGAAATGAAGACTGATCAACCACACTTTGCTCTATTAAGCCCTGACATTGAAACATCCTCAATTTATCTGCCAACAGGAAGAGAGGGTTTTTGGATGGCACCAGTTGCCATGGAGCCACTCAAAGTGTTGCCATGGAGACCACCCACTCTCCAGGGCAACCAGGGCCAGTGTGTGTGTCTGTGGCCTAGCAGGTTATGAAGGGATGAAGGGGGAGGGTGGGAGGTGTTGGGGTAAATAGGAAGTGCGGCAGGAAGAGGGGACTGGGTTAGCGACCACACTCAGTCAACACTCATGTACACATCACCTTCTAGAGTTTCTTATACAGGATCTCCCTTAGTGGTTGGTGTTTCTCTCTCTCTTCCTCTCTCTCTCCCTCTCTCTCTCTCCTCCTCTCTTCCTCTCTCTCTCTCTTCCCTCTCCTCTCTTCCTCTCTCTCTCTCTCTCTCTCTTCCTCTCTCTTCCTTTCTTCTTTAATATATACCCCCAGCTGATTCTCAGAGGAAAGTTTCCGAAAAAATTCCCTCAGTTAACACTCATACACATCACTTTCTTATACAGGATCTCCCTTAGTGGTTGGTGTTTCTCTCTCTCTTCCTCTCTCTCTCCCCTCTCTCTCTCTTCCTCTCTCTCTCTCTCTCCCTCTCTCTCTCTTCCTCTCTCTCTCCCCTCTCTCCCCTCTCTCCCTCTCTCTTCCCTCTCTCTCTTCCTCTCTCTCTCTCTCTTCCTCTCTCTCTTCCTCTCTCCTTCCTCCTCTCTCTCTCTTCCTCTCTCTCTCCCCTCTCTCTCTCTCCTCTCTCTCTCTCCCCTCTCTCTCTCTTCCTCTCTCTCTTCCTTTCTACTTCCAATCCTCTCTCCTCTCTCTCTCTCTCTTCCTTTCTCTCTCCCTCTCTCTCTCTCCTCTCTCTCTCCCCCCTCTCTCTCTCCCCTCTCTCTCTCCCCTCTCTCTCTCTCTCTTCCTCTCTCTCTCTTCCTCTCTCTCTCCCCTCTCTCTCCCCTCTCTCTCTTCCCTCTCTCTCTCTTCTTCCTCTCTCTCCCCTCTCTCTCTCTCTTCCTTTCTACTCTCCCCAGAACTATACTCCCAGTTTGCCAACTGGTTGCCCTCTCTTCTCCACATACCGGCTCCAATAAGCTGAACCGGTTTGTCCAGTGCCACAGTCTCGTTATAGACACCAGGATGAACCACTATCCTGTCACCTTCACTGGACGACTGGACAGCTTCAGATATGGTTGAGAAATACTGAGGAAGGAGGGAGGGGAGGAGGGAGTGAACTCTGATCCAGACACCAACGGGACAGATGAAAGAGTTTCCACATTAGCGAGTTTAAAAACTGCATGCAAGAACTGTTCTTGGAGTAGGAAAAGGTGTCCTTATTAGAGAGATGCCCTCATTTCAGGCGTGCTATGTAAATCCATTCATTAAAATCTGAGGAAGCTAAGAAAGCTATCCACACATGCAGCGCGTACAACGTATATACGAACACATGAGCGCACCTGGCTGTAAGGAGCCTCAGACCTGAGGGGATGAGAGAGGGGGAGGGATGCCATCTTTGGGTAGACGTGAAGACATCCGTGCTACAGAGACAGAGAGGCAAGAGAGAGATTTCAAAACAGGCATTTCGGGATTTTACTACAACTGACCATGAGGGCAAACTGCTCCTTCCAGTTGAGTTCAGAAGTGGGCGGAGTCTTCTGGTCGGACGATGACGGGCGGACGTACGCCGCCTCTAGTTCAAAGACTCGGTGAAACAGGTTTCTCCTGTTAGGAAAACCGGTTTTTGAGTCGTTGGTAGATGAGGAGGAAATAAATGGAATATAAAAGTCAAAAGCATCAGAAAAAATGGTTTAGAAAAGTAATTACTTTTGATGGAAAGAGAAAAAAAGGGAGAAAAGAGGTCCACCAAAGTAAAAGGAGAAAAAGTAAAAAGAGCATAAGAAAGGAGGGGGAAAGAAAGAGAAGAAAATAAAAAGGGAAAAAGGAAGAGAGCGACACAGTGGTTAGGGAAGGAGGGGAGAGAGGGAGAAGAGAGGCCCACCATAACGACTGCAGTTCTCCGATCTCTCTGAACCTGCGGCAGACGCGGGCGACTCTGGCGAGCTCTCGTTCGCGAAGGAACGAGAAGATGTGAACTAGAACTTCGGTCGGGACACTCTCCTGGAGATAGGGTCGGGCTACAAAGAGGGAGGGAGGAGGGGTTTCGTGAGATTTCCATGAAAATGAATTCTCGTGACCTTTTCGTGGTCTCAAGGTCATTAACAATGCCATTTATCTCACTGGAGCAATGTTTCATGGGTAGCTGAATTTTAATAGGAAATAGGAAATATTTACACTTTCGGGTAAATATTTTGCTCTTTCCGTGATTTGTAAGAAAACAAGGACTAGAGGAAGGAGGAGGGAGGGAGAGGGGGGAGGGGGAGGAAGGTGGGGGTGATGGGTAATAGGATATCTGTGGCCCTGAGTTGAGCACTATATAGTGCCAGAGAATTGAAAGAAGTGTGTCTATGTGTGTGTGTGTGTTTGTGGCATGCAGTGTGTGTGTTGGTTTGGCCGCTAGCTAGACTTTGGGGAGACACTTTTATTAGCTGATTTGGGTTTGGTTTTCCTTTTGGAATCCATTCCTTTTCCTTTATAGCAGCCCCTTACAACCACTGTCCTCCCCCCCTTCTCCACTTCTTCAACATACAATACTATCTCTGTCCACTCCAGTTGTAGCTTACAAACCAGCCACGTGTCATGGACATGGCCAAAAATCCAGGACCTCTCTTTCTTTTCAAAGAAAGAGCTGCCCTGGGTGAGATTCGAACCCACGACACACTGCAGTCTAGGTCAGCGCTCTACCAACTGAGCTACCAGGGCAACTCAGCCGGTCAGCGCTCTATCACATGCCCTGGGTGGGATTCGAACCCACGACACTCTGCAGTCTAGGCGAGCGCTCTACCAACTGAGCTACCAGGGCAACTCAGCTGGTAGGGGCTCTATCACATGCCCTGGGTGGGATTCGAACCCACCCGACACTCTGCTGTCCAGGTCAGCGCTCTATCACATGCAGTGCAAGCCACAAAGTCAGCAACTACAACAGACAGAAACCTAATACTGTTGCCGAAAGACCCTGTGCCAAAATCACTCCTACACACTGCCATTTGCTCACACGCCAACCACTCCAGATAAGATCTTGAACTAACATGAGCTGTAGTAAAGAAAACTGGCAGCGAGTAAACTGATAGTCTGCATGACCTACCCTGGCACAATGCATGCACAGTGGTTGTTGTGTGATGATATGGATGAGTAATTACTCTGCTCTGCCTTGCATAGCCAGCTGAGCTGCCTCAGTTGGTAGAGCTCTCTCTAGAACACAGAGTGCTCGGTATGCCATGAGTGATTCAGCCCAGCCAGCTGAGCTGCCTCAGTTGGTAGAGCCCTCTCTAGAACACAGAGTGCTCTGCCTTGCTCTAGCTGTATGAGTGATTTGGCACAGCCAGCTGAGCTGCCTCAGTAACTCGATAATTGATTTCCTCCAACATACATAGCTCACAAGTCACACTAACCACCTAACAACTGCTGTGCAGAAGGGTGTATAATCAGCTGGCTAATTACAGGGGAGCATCAAAGATAACTAATCACTGGTACACGTTCTACAAATCTACATGTCCTGCATGAACATGACAAGTACATGAAAACATGAGTCAACAGACAAGCAAACTACAAGTGTTTAACAACACTTCCTCCTAACGAAAGGAAGACTGGCGTCTAGTGGTCGAGATATTGTACTTTGAAAGTTACGTCTCTTACAGCTTCAATGTGAGCTAGGCAGTGATACTCTATAATTGCCGAGTGCATTAGTGTGAGGCAACTACTCTGGGTTGTATTCTGTGTCGGTATGGGTATCATACAACAAAATTGTCCATGCATCGACGCATAAAACCAACATTCAAATTGCATGAGACTTTTTCGAGATTAATGTCCTACTTCACAATCATAGTTGAATAATCTGACTAATAAACAAGAAGCACTACCATTGGTGTACTGTACTGGGCAACCAGCCAAAAAAACCTGTTTGTAAACAGGATAAACAGGATTAACAGGAACCTCGGACCTACTCAACTGGTGAGGAGTGAAATACTGTTCCCAGCAATGGTATGCACTGGTGTAGGCGGTTTATAATCACAGTCTGTTGTATGTTGGCTAATCCAGACACCAATGGGACAGAATAAAGTGTCCTTACTAGAGAGGTGTCCTTATTTCAGGGGTTTAATTGAATGTTCTGGGGAAGAAAGAAAAGAGGTGTCCTCATTTCAGGGGTGTCCTTAGAGAGGGGTTCCAAGAAAACAGAGTGGTAAGAGAGGGAGAGAGAGAGAGGGAGAAAGTAAAAGTGGGTGAGGTGTGCTAAGATGGAATTTCTGGCAAAGCTACTGAATCACCTGATTCGCCTTAAGGGCTTCAATTTCACCTTGACCCCATTCCAGCTTTCCGAAATCATACGCCCTCTAAATGTTGCTATCAAAACCTCTGCCCATTGCACTAGAAGATGGCACTACCGTTCCCACTTTTTGTGCCAGCCTGCTTGAGTGTGCCTGGTCCATGCTATTTTGGTGGGCTAGCAGCATTATCAAGCAATAATATCCCCAACTCTCAAGCAAATGTTCATAATCTGCAGTTTGGTATAGTAGGTCTGGATAAGATGAACTGAAGTCACACAGCAAGTTCAAGCGAGCCTCAACCATCGTAGAGCACTCGCGATTCAAACCTACTTCCCCCTCTCCCTCTCCCTCTCTCCCTCTCCCTCTCTCTCCTCTCTCCCTCTCTCCTCTCTCCCTCTTACCAAAGTTTACTCAAAACCTCCACACACCCCCCTCCCTCCCTCCCCTTTTTTCAAGGCTCACTAACTAGTCAAAGCCGCTAGGCCTATCTCGTCATCTCAACAGTACACATCTCCACATGTCTACAAAACCACAAGACTTATCGCTACCACTTTTGAAATTTCAAACGCCCAGAAACACCTCCAACTAATGAAATGTTACTACCACTTTTGTTTGAATTTTCGAAGAAATAAAAATTCGAATTTCGAGAGTGTAAAATGAACTTACTCTGCCTGCTGGTTTCTTCAGCTGTTTGTAGTGATCTTCTTGTTCTTTTGGGATGGGCACACTACAAAGAGAGGAGGGAAAGGGTTAAAAAGGACTAAATGAAGAGGAGGGAAAGGGTTAAAAAGGACTAAATGGAGGGAAAGGGTTAAAAAGGACTAAATGGAGGGAAAAGGGTTTAAAAAGGACTAAATGAAGAGGAGGAAAGGGTTAAAAGGACTAAATGAAGAGAGGAGGGAAAGGGTTAAAAAGGACTAAATGAGTACTCAACAAACTAGCATAAAAAGGATAGATCCAACTCCAATCATTTTCCACATGCCATATGAACAAAAAAAACCTAAAATCAGCGCAACGCACAAGAGAAGATAGCATATGCACATAGGTTACTAGGTATAACCCCCAGCCTTGAGAATTGAGGTGGTGGGTTGAAGATCTCGTAACGCAATAATGCGCGGTGAAACTTTGTTTCGTGAGGCAACTGTTTAATGTAACGTCAAATGTATGGGTATGATGGTCTACAAAACATATTGCACGGCAATAGACACACTTTCTACTGCAAATACCCACTGGCCTTGTTGAAAACCTAGGGGAGTATAGGCAATAGACACACTTCCTACTGCAAATACCCACTGGCCTTGTTGGAAACCTAGGGGAGTATAGGCAATAGACACACTTCCTACTGCACACCACTATCAAGGCCTTGTTGAAAACCTAGGGGAATATGTACGCACTAATTGAAGCTGGGGATAACTTAATTGATTTGACTAATTTAATATGGTGTTGCACATGCTTTGGGAACAAATCCAATTTGTTTAGTTAGCAACATACCACCACCTACACACCACACAAATTTTCCTCTCACCCTCCTTCTCTCCTCTCTCTCTCACTCTCTCTCTTCACTTTACCCCATCTCTCTCTCTTTCCTCAATCTTTCTCTATCCCCCTAGTTCTCTATCCCCCTAGTTCTCCATCTCTCTCTCTTTCACGGACAGCTGGTAGTGCAGACTGCTCAATTACAGAGTACACTCACCCACACACCATAACACATCAATCACAACAATCACTACACGTGCGTGGTAATACAGCTCACATCACTGCATCAAAATCTACAATCTATCGTCGTTTTATGCCACCCAGATTCATAATGATATTCATGGCCACCAAAATCCTGCGTAAGAATGTCTAACGATATCAGTGGCACATGTAGTGCTAATAAGGTCGCACTAGTAATCACGTCAACCTGTACAATTTGTACATCTAAACTTGCTACTAATACATGGCCAATTATGTCGACAGATAAAGATCTAAAGGATGGAATTACATCATTACAAGTCATGCGCATTCCAAGAATTCCGTTTGTGCGGCAGGGTGCTGGCCGTTGTAAAAGCAACAGCAAAACTGTGATATAATCTGGTTGGCGCGCAAAGTTCAAAGGACGACACAGGGCCAAATTTGATCGGATATTTATTAGAACATCCCCGTACATGTGTGTGTTTGTGTGTGCCTCAAAGGCACTGCTGGTATGTAAAGGGTTAATTAATTAAGCAAAATTTTTATTAGGTCTAAACTTTTATAGCCTACAAGTCAGACAGAGTCAAAATAATTACTACATTCATCGATCGTTGAACTAAAGTGTAGCTGCTGTTGACGGCTGAAAGAGATAGAACATTACGCCAAAAAAACATTGATTCGTACACGTGCTACGTTTACAAACTGTACATTTCAATCGTACGCGAGCGATAACCGTCATGCTGGGCCAAAACGCAAATATTTACGTTCCGCTCCGATGCAAAAGAAAACACGCAGTGGGTCGAAGAACAAGTTTTTCCCAAAGAAGAGAGAGCAGCTGTTGTTTATGACTCGAACCCAGGGCAACAAAAACCTTGGCAAACTGTGCATGCGCGGTACCGCTAATTGATGGGCAGGGGCTATGAAGCATTTATTCGTGGTCTCCCGCTAGTAGCTCGCGGAGAGACTGACAGTAGTAGATAGCATGCGGGAGTCGAATGACAACCAAGTACTGTAACCCTCGCTGCGCATGCAAAACACACACACATGTTGTACATGGAATTATGGCGACTTACAACTGCCGGTCCACTGCCATGGCAACGGGGTCTCTTAGCTGCCCGGGTTGTCATGGTTACCTGTGTCACAGCAATCTAAAACGGGAAAATACAAAATAACTTCCGATTTCCCCAAAAAATGTAAAAAATTCTACGACAAAAAAATCCAGCTGTCGCTAACACATATGTATACACAGTACTATACTATGGAGCAGCAATGGTCTTGAAAGTAAACAAAATTATTTATTATTTATGCGAACAAGTTATGAAAACAGTAGCTCAGTACTGGTGTGAGTTTTCTGTACTGCTAAGTCAATATTCTCACGACTAAGAAAATGTTGTAAAGTTAACAGCACTCGTTTAGTTACCACCTAACAACATCGTTCAGTATTATTATTGCAATATTATATATATCATTGTATGCGTATCATATAGCGGAGAGATGAACAACATTGTAACAATACCACAGACTACGGTGTGTAGTGTAACCACTGTAGGTAGGGCGAGATTTTTGGGGGTTGCGTTTTGAACTTCGCGAAACGTTAAATCCAAAAACAGTGTCGCTCGTGTTGTTACAATTTGGCTGGCGTCAGTTTCATAGTCACGTTAAAAACTTTCAACAACTCAATTCACACGCGATGTAATAACAATTACACACGCCTATGTTTATTACAGTGGAACTCTTCTCTAAGGACACTCCTAAAAGAAGGACACCTCTCTAATAATGATGACCTCTTTCTTTCACCAAGAACAGTTCTTGCGTGCAATATGTATGTATATACAACCCTTGAAATAAGGACACCTCTCTAATAAGGACACCTTTTCTCTCCCCATGAACAGTTCTTGCATGCAATTTAACCCCTGCTTGCATAGAGCAGTGAAATGACACACACACACACACACACAAGAACAGTTTTGCGTGCAATTCAAGTCTTGAACTGAGGACTAATATGGACGCTTTCTTCTGTCCATTGGTGTGCCAGAGTTGAAGTTCCAGTGTAACCCAAACGACACTCAATCCTAGAGATGCAGGAATCTATTTTGGTTTAGCTATTCACACACAAGTTAGTGGTTAATAAAAACTAGTCAATATATTGAGGAAGTTTTAAAAAGTGATACGTCCTTAAACAAAGACAATATTTTTAACCACTACCTCTCCCATTTCCTCCTTCCCAAAATCATGCAAGAAAATTGGAAATGTTTACACTAAACTAACTGGGACACTTCGGTAGTTTATACGCCACTGTATTCTGATTAGGGAAGAGAGGAGGAAGGTAGGAGAGGGAGGGAGGAGAGGGAGGGAGGAGAGGGAGGGAAGAGAGGGAGGGAGGAGAGGGAGTGAGAAGCAAAGGAGAGAGAAAGGAAGGAGAGAGGGGTGCCAAGCCAAAGTGTGGAGGCGGAAGGCACGACCATGCCAAAGTGGAAAGTGGGAGTGAAACTAACAAAACGCTGTTACCCTAATTCTTCAACACTTTGATACGCGGTGCCGAAAACAGGTCTGGCAGCGAGGAGTACAGATTGGATACCTGAATAATGGATCGTTTGTAGCTGATGCGTTGCTCACAGCCAAAACGCCGCGACTGGCCGCGGGAATCTCTCAATTACTCCGGCCAAAAGTGGATAATTACTCAAAGTGGCCGTCTCACCACCTGGCCAGCTGAAATGTACACACTCCATAGGCTAACTCTATAACCCAAAGGCAAGAAGGCCCGAAAGCCACGGTCTCCCACACTGGTGATTTGCCAAGGGTGATGAGCCACTAGTGCCCGCTCCTCCGCGCAGACACGACATACCAGGAGTTGACATGCCGCCACATAAACTAAATCTGCATTACTGCAAAAGGAGCGGTTATTGGATTAGCTCTTAGACATAAACAGTAACTCCTTGTCGAGTCGCTAGCAGCGTACTGTGCATGGGAAAAGTCTACCGGGCATGATACGCGCTGCCTATTATAGAAACGCGAACAAGCCCACGGCTAGTAAGGCTTGTAGTAAGAAACTCCTTCGGTCGCAAGCCTCTCGTTTGGCTTACTTTATTCGCTAACAGTAGTGCAGAGAATGGTTGAAAGAATAAAACGGTTCTGCAACACGCACAAACCGCAAGCACAGGGCTACGCCACACGACGTTAGCTACGAAACTACAGTTACGACTCACCAGTAAAACTTCTCGCTGTCCGATGAAAATGCACACACCACAGAGTTCCAGACGAAAACGTATCCTTCTCCGTTCGTGTACAGTTGGTTCTTGAAGGGAATTTTGCACAGCAAAGCTTTTCCTTGACTCTTTCAAAAGCGGTGGAGAGAATCGGCGACCGCTTGAATTCGCCGGAGCTATAGAAACGTTTGGGTTTGTATTTTCAGCCGCGGGCAAAATCCTCCGTGCCCCGAGGTGCCCAATACGACGTGTAATATCAAACAAAAACTCCGGGCGAAGAAGAATGAGACTTGTCTCGTGTACGGTACAGTCTCTTTCGCTCCAAACTAGCTGTCGATCTCGCAGTACGAAACTCTCTGCACTTACGACTCGACAGGACACCGCAGAAGATCTATATATTCACACCGACCTTCCGCATATCCCGGCTGCTGTGGACATACAATGCCAACGCCTATCTGCTGTCCCCCGCCGGCTGTTGATATCATCAGCAGATCAGCTTAGTCGGCCGCATAACAAAATTCAGTAGGGCGTCACACTGAATGGCTTCGTCTCCCATGCGTTTTTGGGGTGGGGGGAGAGGGGGAGGGGGCGGGGGCGTGCAGGTTGTATAATGCTAAACGCCCAGCTTGGAAAGGCCGTCCGTATATACTCCTTGGATCCCACGCTGAATATCGAGTGAAAATTGATACCGAACAAAGCCAAAGGCACTCGAGTATAGTATAGTCACTGAGGGCCCCACAAACACCAACCACACACAGCAGTGCCGCGTTACACACACCGCATGCCGGCCAATTTTGCAACACGTGGGTCTCTGCGCGCGCATTGCGCCCGGAAACGCGATTGGTCCAACCCCTAGCAACGTCCCTAGCAACAGTCCCGACCGGGAAACTCTGTTTCCTCTCTCTAGTTCATTGTTGCCCGACTTTACAGTTTACTGTCTGAGTTACACGTACCCTACACGTCCGTCTCGTTGCTGGCTATTGTGGAAGTCACCGCAAAACCAGTGGACTGTACAGTTTATTACAGCCAAGGACGATGGATGCAACATCGGACGTAACGGTGAGTTGTAGATATGACACCCCGTGCTCTCTCGTTCGCAGGTGGGATAGTTTGTCAGTGCTAGACCTCGGCCTGGGTTAATTAGCTAGCTAGCGTTGCCTGCCTGCCTGCCTGCCTGTCGCTGTTTTTGTATATTGCGTTTCCCCGTTCATTGTGCTGTTCCTTTAGTCCAGCTGCGAACATGTATATGGCTAACTGCAGGGTAACAGAACAGTGTGTGGCTGTAGCGTCCGCTAATGTACGGAATCAGTTATGCCACAATGTGCTTCATTCTCTCTCTCCCCCCTCCCCTTCTCTCTCTCTCTCTCTCTCCCCCTCCTTCCTCTTTCCCTCTCCCTCTCTTCCCTCAGCGTATGGCACGTGCCCGAACCCCAGAGATAAGAATCCAGCGAGAAACAGACTCTCACATATCCCTTAGCCCCAGCCCTCGTGGGAGCCCGGCCAGTAGCAGAGGTGGCACACCCGAGCGCTCCTCCCCCAAACACGTGAAGGGCACGAGAGCCAAATTCATCCGCCAGAATCCGAGATTCATAAACAGTCCCATATGTCAGATGGACCCGGGCTCTGGGGGTAAGTCTGTGGCCGAATGTCTTGACTGGAGAGAGGAAGGAAGATCAGGCGCTACTCTTAGACAAGCAGGACATGGGTAAGTATTTGTATAGAGAAAGCTTTCAATTTAGCTTCGTTTCCTCTCTTGGGCAAATAGTCCAAGTGAGTGGCAGAAATTCTTTGAATTTGGGGCAGTTTTTTGGGCCATCCCGATTATAATTAGGCCGTCCCGAATTTTTTTTACTATAGGCTTAGCAAATGTCGTGGTATACATGCATGTGTGGTATTGTTGGAATGTAAGGCAGTGGTGGTTCAAGTACTAAAGATCTATCCACTGAAGCTCCTGGTGTGTGCCCCAATGAAGCACCTGTGGTAGAGGTGTCAGGTGATACATGTGGTGGGGAGATTCTTACACACAGGCAGGATGGGGTCCTTCTCATCTCTCACTCAACCACCACTCTCAGTGACTCTAATAGTGGGGAAGAAAAATTTGTCGGTGTATATATCGCTGGTCTTCACCAACAAATTTGACAGAAAATATTCACACAATTTGAGTTTTAGCGCGAAACATTGTACTTACTAGTTACTGGTCTCTGCCCACAAATTACGCAGAGCAAAGTTTAACGATGCTCTTTCTTGCCTCAGGTCTCCATCACATGACTCCACACTACGTCAAGACTACAGACCTCCCTCTCCTGACACCAGACCTCAGCCCCTCCACAGATTCAGTACTCAGAAACCTTCCAGCAGTGAGTATATATTACCACATACATCCTCATCAACGTAGGACACTGGCCTATTTATATAATGCCACATTCCCCCTATAAGAGTATATAGCACACCAGGCAACAATTCAGTACTCAGAAACCTTCTAGCAGTGAGTATATATTACCACACACATCCTCATCAACGTACTACACTTTGGCCTATTCAGTGTACATGTCAGAGTAAGGCACCAGGGTAAATAGCTGGAAGACCCTGGAACTCTCAGGGACACTCATGAGGACACCCCTCTAATAAGGAATCTTCCAAAGAATTGTACGTGCATGAACTTTAACCCCTGAATTGGGGACACCTCCCTAATAAGGACACCTTTTCTTTCCCTAAGAACAGTTTCTTGCACACTTAACCCTTTGGAAGCCATGGGTATCTCCTTAAATAAGCAGAAATTGATGTATAAAGTATTAGTGCCTAGTATTATGACCCAATATAAATTCTTATGGACTTATTGAGGCTCTGGACACATTTTATGTGTCTGTGGCTGGTTAAGTGTTAAATATAGACACCTAACTAAACCTACACTTTCTGAATTAGAGGAGTTCCACTGTATAGCAATGATCTCAGTCTCTATACACCCCCAGTTCCCCTTGGTCCAGCTGGAAGAGGGAGAGAGAAGATATCGTTTGTACACCAGTATGACTGCAGGGCCGAGCCCGAACAGCAACCAGAGGGGGGGAAAGTGAGCGCTACAATGTGTTCTACACAAAACTCTTTCTGTGTACATATATAGGCTATCGTAGTATTACACAGGGCCCTTACTGTAAAGTGTATATACACTACACTTGTGTATACTTTGCTGTGTATTGTAGACAAACACTAGTGATTGTAGTGTAGACACCATTACATCATCTAACTACACTGGGACCTTTAGAGGTAACATAATATGGAGTTTTGATATCCCAAAATTGACCCTTATTCTAGGATTCACTGTATATATAATACCTCTCCTCTCGTCTTCCTCTCCACACACAGCTACATGGCATCTTTGTCTGGGAACCCCTCCCTCCTTCCTCTCCCTCTTCCCCAGCCCCGCCCACTAATCGGCAGGCCCCGCCCCCTAATCAGCAGACTTCTCACTCCAAACTGTTTCACAGCAGCTAGTATAATACTATAGTACAATTACCAACACAGCCCCTAATAATCATTAACAGTCAGTCCATTAATCAATCACTGTGTGCTCTCATCATTAACTGCATTTTTTGTGTGTACATTTTGTACGACGCATTGGGTAACTATTTCTGAGGGGGGAACTTTAAAATTATGTGCAACTTTGTCCGTTATTAATTGACGTGCTGCTGTTTAGTTTATCCATGGGGATTGTTGTTATACGCACGTTCGAAACTACACTAGTGGTAGATTCCAATGAACATCATAATCATACATCATATAATACCAGTGGTGTCTATGATAAAAATGATCTGATTTATACTAAATCATGTGTGGTATATACTAGACTTTCTTTTGTCTCGAGTGTGGATTGTCTGTATCAGAGTCTGATTCCCGTTCCACCTGGTCCGATTCCCATTCCATCTGCTCTGGTTCCCATTCCACCTGATCTGAATCCTTTGAAATTACAGAATCTTCCTCCTGTCCCGATTCCGTACCGGTCTCAGACTCAGAGTCGTGAGTCTCATCAGAACGGGGATCATCCAGGGGCAACCCCTCATTAAACAGTGATGACGAGGCGGTATGTTGTACCTGGAACAGACCGTGGTCGTCCAGTGTCTCCAGTAGAGGGCAGATGAACTGCCCCTCCACTGTCAGTGTGTACACACAGACGCTCTGCTCTGTCAGGTAGAGTGAGATCTGAGAGGGGGACTTGCCCTTCCTCGAACACCTGGACACAGACGGAAATAGGATCGAAAAAATGCACCGTAAGATGTGCAAGTTGACTGATATCTATTTTGGAGAGACTAGAAGGTCGTTCTTCATGAAGTGCAAATTGTGCTTTTTTCCTTGGATTCAAGGTCCATGCACGTTCTATGTAGAATGCTCAAGTAGACTTCTGGCAGTGAAGCAGTCGTCTGAATTGGGCAATTTTCCCTATAATCTGTGTATGTATAAACCAACAATATGCATGCGCAAACATCACGTACAACTGTTAAACAGACACTTCTTGCCAAAAACATTCCAAGTAGTAAAGTTTGAGTAAAGGTGTTAGATGTCTTACTTGAATTTGACGTAGCAGACACGAGGCTTGCCAGTAATGTCACACACGTCACCTCCATTATAGAGATGAGTAACGCTCCTATAGAGATAAGGGCAGAGTATTAAAATTTAATAGGACCCAAGGAAACAATTTACGTACTAAGAATTCATAAAACTGTTTTGAATCTTTTTGTGGATTCTGAACCGCAAAATTTCACAAATCAAGTCTTTGGCCTGAATTAAACACTGTATGTAGACACAGTAGCAAGACGCAAGGTCTCATTCAGTGCTTGAACGCAAAGTTTCATTCAGGGCTTGATAGGTGCAGTATGGTACTTACGAGGCCGTGTGTTTCTTCTGTCCCTCTCTCTCATACCATTCCATGTGGTCGTCCTCGTTCCAGACTCCCAGGAGGACCTCCGTCTCGGAATTATCAACCTCCTGCAATCAACACACGATGCCGATTACGGATTAGCTCATAGAGATGTTACGCCAACATTACACACAGACACACACAACAGTGGCTGAGAAGTAAAAAAGGCACAAAAATTTCGATGACTCGCTGTCTAGTACAACATATGGTATTTTATAAACATTATCATATTGCCCCACATGGAAGAGAACAGAACACGAACTTGGTGCACAAAATACACACATGTATAAATGCTAGTGGTAAAAAGAAAAGGCATTAAGAAAGAGAGATGGAGTACATACATACCTGATGTATTTGCTTCACTTGTTTCTTGAGACACAGTTCATGGATCCACCATCCACTGCCCTGGAAGAATTCACAGACAGAAATGAGAATTAACAGTTACCGGAGTATTGGCGTAGAGGTAGAGAAAATTTTTGGGTTTTGCACACGTATAATTATATACACCTGGCTGCCTAGGATTACAGGTATTAACTTAGATTACTATGGATCACTGCATAGATTACTAAGACTGTAGCCATAGATTACTAAGACTGTAGCTATAGATTACTGTGACTTGGTGTAGATTACTAAAACTGTAGCCATAGATTACTGTGACTGGGTGTAGATTACTAAAGACTATAGCCATAGATTACTGTGTCTGGGTGTACATTACTAAGACTGTAACCATAGATTACTGTGACTGGGTGTAGATTACTAGGTAGATTACTAACAAACAAGGCCCAACGATCAGATTATAGAGATTACGCCATACCCCACGAAGGCACATTTCCCCGGTGAGGAAAGTGAGGATGATGGCTTCGTCAAGACTTGGCCCACTGCTGCTCACCTTTGACCCTGGAGTCCCTCCTACATTATACAGAACAAAGATAATACACCTAGGGTTAAATGCACACAAAAACATTTTCATGGAAAAATCACAAACTGTCAGAAAAAGATCTTTTATAGCCAAAACATCATCTTTCACCGTAATACCAACCGCCAGTGAATTCATCAAGCAGCTAATAATACTTGTGCCCAAGGATTCACAAATTTTAGTTTTGAACCTTTTGAGACGGTTTTGGGAGTGTCTGAGACGGTTGGTGTCTTGGTAGTCATGGTGATGATGTCAAACTCTTGCTCTCTGAGAATTCCAGGCTTTCTGAAAAGAGAAATGGTTAAAGTTTCAAAAAACAATGTGTCCATATATTTTCAACATTTTCCCAAGCGGCATCTGTGGGAAGAGGCAACTTACACGAAATTTGCACTAATAGTGATGCAGCTGTGTTTACAAAACACCAAATACACAAACGGTTTAACAAACTGAAAGTGAAAGTTATTGGGGGCAAACTTAAAACGAAATTTGCGGAATCAAGTTTTCACTGACTTTGGTGAGCTGCCTTGAGAGTAGCAGGAGATGGTGTAGACTGGTTGCTCTTTCAGTCTATGGAACAGAACAATCGAGTACCCAATCACAGTAATCTACATACAGTCTTAGTAATCTATACCCAATCATCAGTAATCTACATACAGTCTTAGTAATCTATACCCAATCATCAGTAATCTACCTCAAGTCTATTACCAATCATCAGTAATCTCCATACAGTCTTAGTAATCTACCCAATCATCAGTAATCTAACAACAGTCTCAGTAATCTATACAGATCATAGTAATCTACTGTACCTGTAATCCTTGTTCTGGCAGAGCTGTTTGGAGCCAACTATTGCAACATAGTGACATGCAGTCGACTCCTGTACCAGCAATAACTGAGAGGAGCAGAAAAACAGGGAAAAGAAAGATGGGAAGAGGAAGAAAAAAGAGAGAGGAGAAATAGGGAATGAAAGAGAGAAAAAGAGAGTAGATACATATAGGGAGCGAAAAAGAGAAAAAGAAAAAGAGGGAGAACAAATAATAGAGACCTCAAAAATGAGAGGAAAGAAAAAACGAGAGCATGAAAAAGTAGTAAAAAAGTAAGAGGAAACAAGAGAAAAAGAACAAAACAAAAAGTGCAAATAAGGTGGCCAAGAGAGCAGAGAGGGAGAGAGAAGAAGGGAGGTGGACTGACTGAGCCGTAGGTCTGGGCGTCGGTCTGACAGATGTACAGGATGCTAACACTCCTGGGATTGTTACCACGGAGATCGCAGGGGGTTCCCCCCGTCATATCCACCTTGTGGTAGGGATAGTCAAATCCATTGAAATGCCACGTTGGAATCTAGAGAACAGTGAGTTTACTTAAAACATCAACATGCACCATTAATTGACATGATAGATCCAAACACACATTAATTGACATGATAGATCCAAACACATACATATATAAGGCAGGAGGAAAACTCTTTATTGCCCAGAAGAGAAAGAAAGAGCATAAAAAGAGAGACTATACACAGGATAGGATAAGTGAGAGCACACCTTTCGTTTTTCACCCTCTTCCTCCCCGTCCTCTCTCTCCTCCTTCTCCTCGGAATTTGTGTCACCCAAACTTGACTTCCTTGCTTTACCCAGGATATATTCATCCATTTTAATCCCCTGCATCAGAATTAGAGTATGAAACAACATGCAGCCATGGAGTTTTTGTCGCCCATGTCACTTGTAGTACGTAATTTTTTTTTATGGGACTGAAGTTGCTCATCACAAGACACAATAAATATGCTTATACCAGTCCAAAACTACATACATTCATGAATAAGATAATATATAGCAGAGAGGAAATCACGACAACAAAAAAAGCAATTGTGACAGATACATGTTGAATCAAATAGAGTTAGTTTCTGTATCGGTTCTGGAATTCTTTGGTGAGTCGAGCGAGCTCCTCCATTCCTTCATACAGTCCACTGCCGGACACCGCACTACTGCCCTGCACGTACCATTTCCTGTCCTTCACCTGCGGGAGACCCAACTTCGCCGCAACTTCAGATGGCGACTGAGCTTTTGGGAGGTCTTGCTTGTTAGCCAGAACGACCAGGGGCACCCCCGCCATTTCATCCGAGTTCAGAATCCAGGTGAGTTCGTCTCGGGCCTCTGAAAATCTCATCGTGTCGACGCTGTCCACGATAAAGACCAGCCCCTCACATCCTTGGAAATAGTGTCTCCACAGAGGCCTGATCTTGTCCTGTCCGCCGACGTCCCAGACGGTGAAGCTCACGTGCTTCACGGGTTGTACCGTCTCAACGTTGAATCCAATAGTCGGTATGGTGCTGACTACTTCGTGCAGTTTCAGCTTGTAGAGGACCGTCGTTTTGCCCGCGCCGTCGAGACCAAGCATCAAGATTTTGGCCTGACGCTCTCCGAAACTGTCGTAGATTTTCTTGAGGTTCGATATCCAGAGACCCATGACGGCTTTTTAGCTTCTGCGAGTGAGTCGGAAGCTAGGAGTAAGATTTTCTTGGGTTTTCTTGGGACTTCTTTTTCTGCGATCGGCTTTCCGCGGTTTCTTGACGTTCGTCCCCGCTCTCGGGAGCTTATAAGCAGCGCCCATGGTTGCCCCGTCGTCTCGCAACACACGAAAACCGCCTGCAAAGACCGTTTTGCGTGTCTCCTTCCACGTGGCAAATACATCACGTAATGACGTCTGCACTCTAAATTTAGAAACCGTGCGCTATTTATGTCGCCCACGTATATACGGCGCGTGCGCGTGAATCCCGACGTATGACGCATGCGCACAAGGTATTCACCTTTCCCGTATTCTCTTCGTGATACTGCCTCAGTATTTGTCCGTGGCACAGCTCATACGACCAATAACCCTGGCTCTAAAAATAGAAACAATTTTACAGTAAATTTTCATGAGGCAAAGTCCACATTCAGTACCAGTTCGAGACATTGAAACTGGAGTGGCTGGAGTAGAGACTCCGGAGTAAGGTACTTTGACTCCAATTCCTCCTCCTGAACAGAGAGAGGGGATTATTTTTAGGGCAAAAATCCATGTGTTCCAAAGTGTTATACTTGCAGCAAATGTACCACCATCAACACACAACGTGATCATGCTTTTGCTTGCATTCGCATCACATGCTATTGTTCCTGAATCACACCAACAAACATGACTAAAATTCGAAAGGTAATCCTGTCACATCCATAAATATGGCAGTACTTCTTTGTTTATTTACGACTGTGATTAAACCCCCTACTAACCCCGTGAAAGAAAAAAAAGGCTAAAATTACACACAACTATATAGCTGATCAACAACGCAAAAAGTTTCAAGATCCTACATTGGTGGTGATTATATTATACACTACACAAGAAACATGATCTCAGCTACCACACAGTGCGGGGGAAAACGTGATATTCGGTCGATCAGCACAGGAAGAAGATTGTTGAGGGAACATACAAGTCATGCCTCGCTCAAACACACTTTTAGCGAGGCATGACTTGTAAGTAAAAAAGAAATTTGAACTTTCACCCTTAAGGGTCTCTGTTTTGATTAATCATACAACAAATATTTACCTTCTAAGGGAGGAATTTTAGTGCACAGGAAACATGCGATATTAATTTTGGTAGGATTGTTATACTTTGGTAACCACTTCTATATACACATGAATCAAATCTGGTTTCCTTTGTTACGGTATAAATTCCCCTCATTCTCCATTACACACCAACCTCTTCAAACTCAGCAGTCGCCGATTTCGGAAGGACACACGTGTATTTCTCTTGCTGGGCCGTTGCCATCTCAACGACCTCGTCAGTGAACCCCGGAGCAAGAAGCTCATTGGCCAGTAACCGAGTGACGCGATCACCTTTAAAAACAGTATAACATGGGTTTACAATGTGTGCTTTTGTATACTTTCTTCAGTGATTGTTGTCCGGAATGCTACGTCTTCAGCGCGCGCCGCCGAGGACGAGCCGGCCCAAGAAAACTCGTACATGGCATCTCCCTCGAGAGGGGTGTAATCCATACCCACGCATAGCTCGACGTAGCAGCACAAAAACGCTACCAACGACGTAGAAACTCCAGTTGCTCCACGAGTCATGTTTACATTTGTGATGGGCACTAAATGGAACGATACGCATGCGCACAAAGCCCGTGGAAACTTGTGCACGTGATCTGTTCAAAAATTCATTTAATATCAAATTTCACAAGTGTGGTTTGACCGTAGGTATAATATTATGAGTTTGTGGTAAAATAGAATATCAAAGCGACGAAGCCTCCAGCCGCAATTAGCGCTAGCATTCCTTCCGTTGGCTTGAACTTCGGTATACCCCCTCCTGTACGTACGCGTAGCTACATCCGCTTTTGCGCAATAAAAAAGGAGTCTCATAAAAAATAATAATAAAGAAGTGGTAAAGGGCGTTGTTTTTCTCGTTACGCCAAGGTTTCTCGGCGAAGACAAAATCATGTCTGTATTTTCTCCTCCAAGGTAAGCAGAGCCGTACTTAGCTGTGTGAGTAGCTAGCTACGTATCTTACCACTGAGTTTACTGTTTTGTTACGGTCACTTCGTGATAGCTATTGCTAGCTAGATATTTTCTCGCCAAAATGTCTTTTCCCCTCGACGACGACGCAAACAGCGACGGTGGTGGACAAGATGGAGTCCGGCAGAATGTCGTGGCCAAGAAGAGACGACGGCACCAGAACGTTGAGATAGACGAACTTGGGGAACTGGTGCCGTACCGACGAGCGGACGGGAAGGCGCTCGACAAGCTCTCCGTCCTTCGGCTCACGACCTCTTTTTTCAAGTTTCAGGATTTCATGACCACCGGTAATTAGCTAGCTAGCGGCACCTTGTTGGGAGTGGTGCCCAAATTTGATCAACTGTCTCTCTTCTTTCTCCCTTCTCTGCTCTTCTGAACAGTATATGGTGCTAATGGAGCTCATAACGAGAGTGTACTAACAGATATGCTGGATGAGGTAATTAATTTCCCACTTGATTTATAGCTACCATATAGCTCTCTCTCTCTCTCTCTCTCTCTCTCTCTGCTCAGGCAATGGATGGGTTCCTGATGGTCATTGCCAGTGATGGTGTGATCCTGTACGCCAGTGAGAACATGGAGTCCTTTGTGGCCCTCAGTCCTCGCGACGTGATTGGTCACTGTCTCCACGACTTCGTCCAGTCAGAGCAAGACAGCAAAACCATCACCAAAAATCTTGAACCAAAAGGTGTATAATTTTTTATGATCTCGTGGATTCGCCTAATTTTTTTCTTTTTTTATAGGAGACAAGCCAAGTCAATATCGAACGTTTTTTCTTGAGCTAAGAAATTCTGCATCTCCAAAGTCACCGCTGTGTGGCAATAAAATGGTAACTCAGTTGTTGCGGCATGAGGGTTGACTTTTGTTGCACTGTTTGCTCAGGTTTTTCAATAAGTGTGACCTTATATATAAATTGCTTTGAATTTTTAAAAGGCACTACAATGCAGGCCACTCTCGTACAGCTATCGGCTTCGAAATCAGGCCAGGGTCTACCAGCATGACATATTTGGTAGAAATTTTGTAGATAGACTTTGTCTTAGCACCTTTAACTCCCCTTTCCATCATAATATTTTTAACCCTATTTTACTAAGTTTAATTCTTTGTCACTGTATCTCAGTTACTTCGGTTGAGTGGGCATTTGAAAGTGTCAGTCGACCACCCGCCTTGCTCCACTCAAAAGTCATCTTCAGAACCATCTTTAGTGATGACATCATCATCATCTGAGGAGGAGACGGGACCTCATGTGCTAGGTCTAGTGGCAGAGTGCCGGCCCATGGCACTTTCTCTCTCCATACTAGAAATGGAGTTCCCAGACTTATCGTTCACCTGTGTTTTTGGCCTGGACCACATGATGAGGAGTATTGATGATAGGTAAGGGAGCATGCCAGCGTATATACTCAGTCTTTTGAATATGCGGTTTTTGGTTTTTATACTGTGTACTAGGTAATATACTGTTGCACATAGCGAATGTTTTACGTGTAACTGTAAACATTACGAAACGGAATAGAAATTTTGCAGGTGCATGCCACGTGGTGTGACTCTTGCGTTTTCACTTGCCAAAAATGTGTCGCAATCCGTTTGGTAGTGTGTGTGTGTGTCTTATATAACTACATAAAGGAAGCTACTATTTCTCTGAGTAATGTATGGTGTATATATATGTGTTCTGTTGACAGAATCAGGAATATTCTAGGGTTCGAACCGGAATATTTCATTGCGTTTTCTTACAAAGACTTTATGCATCCAGGAGACACGGAGATGATGGAGCAGGCCCATGAGTTCCGTAAGACATAATAGATTGAAACCTTTGAATAAGGTAGTCTCGCGAGCCATACACATTTTGCGTGCATGCGTCGAAGCGCCACACACGTAGAAGAAGGCGGGAGGAGTGCGCGTGGCTCGACGCATGCACGCAAAATGAGCATGGCTTGCGAGACTATGATAAGGGACACCTTGAGGGCCGAAAGTCTCCTTTGCTCAGTGGTGTCCCTTATTCAGAGGTAATATCGACACAACTACCAACCAACGCCACCCGGTGTCCTGGGAGGGTCGCTATGCTGGGAAGATGATCATCTATCCCTACACAAACCTCGACCTCCATTACTAGACTATGTATTAGTATGGCACAGAACCACAAATAGAAAGGTTCAGAGGGTTAATGTTTAGAGGTTTTTTAACCCTCTGCTGTTCTCCCTTCCTTCCCTACCTCATCTATCATGCAGTGGCAAGAACTGGCTACGTCTGCAAGCCGCCATACCGGGTAATGTCGGCGTCAGGCGACTGGGTCTGGATTAAGGCTGAAGCCGTTCTGAGATACAACAAGAAAACCAAAAAACCAACTCATTACGACATGCTGTGTAAGGTGGTGGGGTAAGTCCCTTCATTAATCCAGCGACAGCTGCACAAGTTTCTTACGCTTCCATATTAGCAAAGGATGATGATTTGACTTCCAGGGTGAGACTCTGTCCAGCAAGGTTTGCATGTTTGAGCAGCATTGCCCAGCATGGAGGTGTGTATATTGCTAGCAGAACACTATGAGAGAGAATAAACGGACCACACCCGCCTAACAATTGGCGAATTCCACACATGCCTATTCACATGCCAAGGGTTTGCAGTTTAGTGCTTCAACGTAACCACTCATGTGTGTACAATCTTTCTTTGCTCCCTCAGACAAACTGAAGGTACTGTTCGCTATATAGAGCAGAAACAGCTAAGTGGTTGGCCGCAGGGCATGTTTGGACAACATGCTATTTCCGTCCCAGATTCCAACTGGTCATGTGTACAAATGGTACACAGCCCATCCTCCACACCTTCTCCTTCGTGTTCAGTGAGCACCAACAGCACATTTTCGTCCCCCACCCCCTCCCCCTCATCTTCCGTCGCTGTACCAGCTCATCCACAGTCACACTCGATGGAGCCTAACCCTCCTATCATTTCATCGGTCCAACACCAAATGCTGGACATGCCACTTTCAAACTTCTCCACTCCACAACAACAACACCCTCCTCCTCCTCCTCCTCCTCCTCCTCCATCGCAGGAGTGGGTGGAGAGACAGAGACAACTGGAAAACCAGATTCAGAGACAGAAAGAGTTATTGCAAGACCTTATTGTGCAACAAGAGGTGCACCAGATGATGATGCCTGAGCCACAAGAAATGGCCGCAGTCCAACAAACCGATAAAGAACCAACGCAGAACCACTTCTCCCCCCTGTCTTCGGGTTACAGCAGTTCTCTTTCGTCCCTCGCCCCCTCCCCCCTGTCTTCCACTAATAGTGGCCACAAGGAAGAGATGGCATGTTTGGACAACGCCCCCTCCCCCCTGGAGTTGTCTTCGGTTAAGACTCGCTCTCTTTCGTCCCTCGCCCCCTCCCCCTTGTCGCATGTTGGTTTATCGACTGTTCCTGCCACTCAACCACTGCCCCTGCCACAAATGACCAACGGTGGCCAAAACGGACCAAACACGACCACCGGAGATGCCACAAATGTCTCGTTCCTTGGTTCGGTCGATTTTCTCTCGTCTGCCAGTCCTGATAGTGCGCTGCCACTGTCTCCAGACATTCAGGAACTTTTGCAGCAGTTTATGTGACCGTCTGTGGCTAATTGAATTGCATATATACTTTAATTTGTACTCATGTGTGAGCAAATGTATTTGAAAAATCATACAACAAGTCTCGAGGATAATATCTTTATCGATGCCAGACTAATGTGAAACCTGAAATATAATACATGTAACTGGAGCACTAATTTGTTTGTATATATATCTGCGTAAGGTAAATGGGGATAACTTCGGACACGGGGTAATACCCGGACACAACTCGCTATTCAGAAACAAGAGAAAGATTCGGATATATTTCACTTTTGATTACTACCTGCCAAAGCGCTATCCTCCTTTTGGTATATACATGGTTTTTATTCATATCACCCATCCCGTTCCCCCCCCCTGTCCTTATTCCTTATCTATTCATGTACTGTAAAGCATAATAGTAAATCTTCCTCCCGTTTTTCCGCAGCGCATAATTTCGTGGCTGGTGCAACGCCCCATGTCCGGAGTTACCCCCATTTACCTTATATGAACAACGGCAATGCAAAAATGTCAATGTGGCTAATTCCTTAGCTACCTTCACTATTAAACTCTGCCCCTGGGGTTCTCCGGATACTTCAAGTGAGTATGATTATACTTATACTGGTGCCTTAGTTTTAGTGTTTCAAACCGCGACTCTTGCGAAGGCCACGACGATGTCAGAAGAAGTGATAGTGGGAGGAGAAAGCAACGATGTGACGGTCCAAGGTGAGCCCCCCCCAGCACAGAGCCGAGTAGCTAGCTTGAGATCGAGGAAGTACGAGTGAGCTGAGCTGAGCTGTGCCGAGCTAGCTAGCTCGTGGTCGCGTTGTTTAGCACGGATAGAGACTCGCCGTTTGTCTATATGTATATAGGTGTAGAGGACCCAGGAGAGCAAGCAGTGTTGCCAACTTATGATGAAGCACTCAACATGACCAGGCTCTCCGGTCCTAGCACTTCAATACAGCCACCAGTCCACCGTGCCTCCGGGACAGTCCGCTATAGCCGAGGCACTACAGTACAGCCAGTCCATTATACTCCCGGCACCATAGTAGGACACTACCATGGTGGAAGGAGAGAGAGTGAAGAACGGGTGTACTTACAAAGCCTGACGTCGCCTGAGCCACCGAGCTACCCCTATAATGATTCCCCACCCGTGATGGAACAAGCAACACCCTCTTCCTCACCAGGTCTGAATGTCATGTATGAACCGAGTATTTGAATAATGTGTATGCTTGGAAACTACACCATAGTGTTAACCTAGTCAACTCCCCAATCTTCATTTTGTTATGATGTGGAAACTATAAAGGACACTCTAGCCCCATAAATTTTTTTTTATAGAGAGGTCTCCTGTATTTGGTATGACACACTAGAACCGTAAAACCAGAGGCATCCTTATTCAGACGATAATAGTATCAGTACGACAGAGGTATCCTTATTTGGAGTGTCCATTATAAGAGGTTCCACTATACTGTAGTATAATCCCTTTTCACAATGGTCTGATATAATACAGGTCAAAGACTCACAAATACTCCGGGATCTCGGGTACCACTGAAAGAGCCTGTCTGTTTCTGCTGCTACACTGGTATGGGAGGTCTCAGAATGCCGCCTATCATGATTGCCGCGTGGAAAATAGGAATGAAACGCATCATGTCGACCGGCGACATTGGAGGCTGGGCGAGGTATATTTTCTTGGCTGTTCAGAGTCTTCTGCTACTTGCCGGGATCATCATCTCCTTTGCGACTCCTTTCGACAATGAGATTCGGAGATATTTGGGAATCGGGTTTCTAGCGTTCGCACTCACTTTCATTTTTGTGGAGCGTTTTATTTTCTGGTGTGGTCATGGCCTCAGCGATCTCAGACGCGGCAGATCATGGAACCTTTTTGCCGATGTTGTTCGACTTTTCACTACAGAGATACTGATCTATGGCGCATTAATGACTACACTGTTATCAGGTTTTGTTGGACTGATTGGTCTGCTCTATTTCCTGACAGCAGTTGTGATGAAAATGTTTATCGTGATCAAATTTACATGGTCGCTGCTCAAATCAAGGGCAGCAAACTGTTCAAATGCTGCCACTACTCAGAAATGTCTTCTCTACGGACTATGCATTAATACCGGCGCATTGATTCTTTTGCAAGCAGCGCTTGTGGTTTATGTTGGATCTTTACTTCTAACTGGCTTTTCTCATGAAGGACTCCCACTTCCCTTCATAATTTTTTCTGGCTTGGTGTCCCCATACTTGTGGGGACTTTATTTCTTGAATGTGTCTCCCTTTGCACGACTTTTCCCTCTCTCGATGGCTCTCGACCTCCCTCCAACTCACAACTGCCCAGATCCAATTGACGTACAAACCCTCTTGCCACTGTTCGAAAGGATGCATAGTGACTCAAAGACTCTCAGTGGATTCACGGTAAATGTGGTCCGCCTATGCACTAGTCCACTATTTGTGCTGACACAACTTTTGTATGTAGTCATGTGGAGTTTTATGGTAGCCTATATGGTTAGTGATCATAGCACCAGCCCATTGTCTAGATACCTTGCACTTGGTCTTCTGGTTCTCCTCAGTCTCCCTTCCCTTCTCTATGGACTGTTTGTAGTTATCCTCACACCATTTTCATTATATATGTCACCTATCCTCCTCAACTATAATGAAATGCAGTACTGGAGTGTTTCTACTGTACTCTAAACACTGTTGCACTGTTTATCAACATGTTCTCTTCCGTATGTTATATTATAGTCATGTGCCATCGATTATATGTATATACGCCACTGTGTAATCTTATGCGCATGCGCGGCGCGCTGAAACCTTATCACGCAAGTTGTTGAAAACTGCCATGACCGACGACGAAGACTGGCCGGTGCTAGAAGCTGAACTTTCGAGAGAATGAGGCCAGGAACAGTTCTATTATTCGTCTTCTCCCTGATGATGGCCTGGCTGGGATACGACGAAGCCGATGCTCAGTTTGCAGTCGACGTAGGATCTGGCTCCGCACTAGCGCCGTTGGCACCGTATCCTGAAGTTCCTCATCATCCTGATCCAAAATGGTGGACATGCCACTTTCAATTTGTACTCGTGTGTGAGCAAATGTATTTGAAAAATCATACAACAAGTCTCGAGGATAATATTATCTTTATCGATGCCAGACTATAGATTAATGTAATATCCCATTAATTAATACGTACATTTCATTTGTTTGTACTGTGTATGAAAAACGGCAAGCGAAATGTCAATGTGGTGGGGGGGGGGGGGGGGGGGAAAAACTGGAGGCGGGGGGGGGGAAAGTATGGTTCGGGGTATAAACTTGTAAACGCAACGGTTTTCCTCGGATATGCAGTGAGT